AGTGCAATACGAGCAATATCCTTCAAGAATCTCTGCGCGATGTCCAACGCAACACCATCACCTTGACTGCCACCCATTACACCCAATTTTGCCTTGGAATCAGTACCAGTGCCAACAGCGCCATCAATGCTTTCCTCTGATCGCTTCTCCTCGATGGAAAGATATTCTTTGAAAGCTCTCATGACTATTGACTCAAGCTCCAAATCCTGGTCGCTGAATACTTGGATAAATGTGGTATAAACGTTGGCCGCAGAGAAGTTCTTTGGCCAAGATTGACAAACCATACCCATTGCATCAAGTGCATGCTTTCGAACTTCCATAGGTTGAGAGGGTGTGGCAAATGGAGCAAATGTATCGACCATCAATTTCGAAACTGATGTACCTTTCATGTTTGGGAATTCCTTTTCCTTAAAGACCTGGTGTTGAGGATCGAGATCGCAGTGCTTACCACACATTCCACAAATAAGTAGAAGCTTCGTTAACTTCTTGACAAAATCAGCTCGCTTCGGGTCGTTCAAGTCAATGGTTTTCATTTTCTCAATACCAGCCAAACTAGATAACACAACTCTAGTTAAATTGTGATAGTCATCAAGGACGCTGCTGATAATCCACAAACAAGCAACTATATCGTCCAAGATAGATTTAGGGCTGCGTGTCATAGTTGGCAAAAGATCCTTTCTAATCGTGGTGAGAAAACCATGTTGAACTTTGGGTAAGCTAGGAAGAACATAGCGAAATATCACAACAACTGAACGATAAATAGCAGCCTCATCACCACTGCCGACATTTGATACATATGGCTGCAATAGTTGAATCTGTTCGGCTGTAAATAGATTAGGATTGGATTTGGCAAATATGGTTAGTACTTCCAAAGCATCCCGAGCAGTTGGAGCATCAGAATCCTCAGAAGCTGGGTTGTCAATAATTGTCTCGAACATTGCCGCAACAAGCGCCTTACAAACCTTAAAATTTGCATCAGGGTACTTCGACTTTGGAGAGAGTAGATTTTGGAGGACTTTGTCAAGAACAGTAGACGTCCCATTTTGTCGCTGAGCCGTCTTGATGATTAAAGTAACATGATCTGAAATAGCAAGTTTCGCTTGGACTGATGTGTCCTCGGATCCAGTAACTTTGTAGAAAGGTAACATCCAGACTTCTTCGATTGTCGACCTAGCCAATTCCTGAACACCATCATCAAGATCGGTGACTCTGTATAAAATAGCATCAGCGATAGAAGCCTTGACGTCCTTGTTCGTATTACTCAGGTAGATGTCTTTCAAGAGTTTCATAGCTCGCTTTCGAACACCGACTCCGCTATCGTTAACTCGTTGAAGAATACTAGGTGTCATCTCCACCTCGAGAGCTGGGACTAATGATATGCACTTTCCAATGAGGCCTAATGCTGAATCCCTTACACCCACTGAAGGATCGTTTGAACACCGTAAAATCATTTGCTTGGCGGCAGGCTCACGGTCAAGAATGGTTGGATCTGTTTCCAGAACCTGATTGACACTTTTCAGACTCTTACTCCTGACAGTAGCTTGTTCACTGAACATTGATCGAAGCAAGATATCAAGCACACGACTGAAAGATTTGCAAAAGTTCGAGTGTAATAATGTCAAAGAATAGGCCAGACGGGCGTGATTAGGATCAACTGAGCCATAGCCATGCTCTGTAGAAAACCATCTCTTATCGGTGATCATCATCCTCAAGCGGTATGCCACTTTACCGTAGTTCTCCTCGATGCGCTCGTGATCAGAATCATCATCGGAAATATTGTCATATTCAGTTATCAATTGTGAGGCCCATTCAACGATTAAGAGAGAAACACTGCTTGTTAATTGGGGATCGGAAAAGGAACGGTCTTCCATGAAGTCTAGGCACATTAAGTAAGGTCCACCCCATGTCAAGATCTCGTGAATGTTTGCTTCGTGCCTGAGCGTTTCCTCGGCAATCCTTGAGAGAGCCTGTCCCATACGACCATCTCGATTTTCGAGTGATGCAGCAGTCTTTCGAACATGAGAGTGTAGTTCAGATATTGCTGCGCCCATTGACCCTAGTAGATCAAGAGCCATGTTCTTAGCAGGAGCAGGTGTTTTGTCTGCTTCAGCGAGTTGCACCATCTTAAAGAGGAAGAGGCGTAAAAGTAGTTCGGCAGCAGGCCAGTCCGTAGAATTCAGACACGTGATAAAGTCTTCAACAAACAGATCAAGGAGATTTCGGTATGGGGTATCGCCATTTTTCGTGGATTTGATCGCTCTACTAACAATGAAATTAACCACGTATCCAGTGTTTTGTGTCGCACTTTCCAGCAATGGAGCTCCGCAGTCCTTAAGTTCTTGAATTGCTGTGACGTTCTGTTCAATTGCTCGTTTTTCCGTGTCATATCGACGATGACTATCGGCATCATTGATTCCATCCTCCTGGACCTCGTCATCTCCGGTGAGAGCATCGTGGGCCTTGCGTCTTCGATTTTCTTTCGCATCATCCGACTTGCTGGCGCTTGTCTGAATCAACTTCATGATTAGTGCAGAGACAAGTTGGATGCTTCCGCCATCCGCTAATTTGAATTGACGAGCGCTTTGTTTAGAGACAGGGAGCTTCTCCAAGGATGTCAGAATCTCATTGAAAATCTCAGCTCTTTCCTTCGGATTGTTATTGAAGACTTGCGCAAGCACATCCATTGCTACTACACGTAGATTGTCAAATTTTGAGATGCTAAGTATGGAGTCCTTCTCCGTGTGAGCATTCTCGACAAATATCAACTTAGTAGCTGCAAATTCAAGACTGTTGATTACCGTTTCCGATAGATCAATGTTGGCTACGAGAACTGCCATGAGTGACAAAAGTCGTCTACATTGGCCAAGTAGATTAAGAATAACTTTTTTCTGAGCGGATAGTAACTTGAACAATGTTGAAGTGGATCCCGTACTACGCAGTTCCACAACCGGAATTATGAAAGTCTCCATAATATTTTTGAAGGCGTTCAAAGCTGATTGAATGAGATCCTCCGAGTACAACTGCTTTTCGTCACGCCCGCCAGTCATGACTCTGAGTGAGGTGCGAGCAGATTTGAGTCCAAGTTCTGCATTCGCAATTTGTAAAAAAAGCGTTTCCACATCCGATTCTCCCATTTCCTCGTCAATCTTCAAATCAAGTGTCTCGGCCTCTTTCAAAGCAGCCTCGGAGAGTTTTTGAACTCGAATCAAATCCTCCAAGGGTACCTGTTTGAATCTACCAACCTCAATAATCCTATTCAGCAGGGGCTCAAGTCGCATTTGAGGGTTAGCCGCAAGACTAATTCCTTCATTCGTTGAAATAAAGAAATTGTTAGAAACATCAGTATCCGGCTGAAATTGGTTTTCGGCCTCAAAAACATCTTGAAGATATTCTCGTAGATTTCGCGCAGCAATTTCGGCCTTCTCTCTTTGGTCGATCACCCCAGATACATTTTCTTCGTATTCATCGGAGCCCACTCGTCTTCTTTTTCTGGCAGGACTATCAGGCGAGTCTGGAAGAGCTTCCACAACCTTGTACTCCTCTGGTCGTAGTTGGGACTGTGGTATTATGACGGATATGATCGGTTGTGACGGAGATGATGGAATATTTTGGCTTTGCTGGCCATCTTGACTAGCGGCCGGTGCAATTCGTGGAGGTGGAGGTATTGGTAATTGGGCATGCAATGTTTGAGGACTGATTTTTGTGACATGCGAAGCTGCAGGAATTGGGCTTTGTTTGTGAACAAATGTAGTTGCATATGGTAAAGGAATTTCGACCGCGATTTGCGACTTTGGTCTAGGTGTGACATTCGCATACTCGACAACAGGCTTCGTAGTAATAACTTCAGGAAATATGGTAGCGTTTGCATTCGCATTATGGGCCTGCAAATTCGCACTCACAAAGCTACTACTTGGAGTTCTCGATTTCGTCTGAGACTTAGTTCTCTGCTTCTGGATTTTGTGCCTCATGGCTGGCACTTCTGAACCTTCCGCAGTTCTATATTCCACCTTTGTTGAGTCATATAAAATTTGCGCAAACGGTGAAAGATTTGGTTTCAAATGGGTAGAATCGGGGACTGATGCAATCTTTGGTCCGATCTTGAAGTTGCTTTTTTGTATGTTAGTCAGATCAAACTGTTTGCAGGATTCTAACCTTACTATTCTGTATGCTCTTTTGGATTAAGCAACTTTTCGAGATCTTGTAAAGTTCTTTGTAGGCGCTGTGAGGTCTGATATGGGTTTGTTGCGTCGGCGTTCAGACTTTCCAGACTTTGCCTGCCCTGTTGAGTTTCTGCTGCATTTGGAAATAATGAGGAGGAAGAGCCGAGTCCAACTGTAGGTAAGGGGATAATATCTGCAAATTGAGTGTTATTAATAAAATTGATAATGGTATTTTGAGGATATCTTTCGAAGGTGAAGGGAAAGATGAGGTTACCAGAATTGAACGGCACAACAGAGGAAAAAGGTGAATAGGGAAGAGCTTCGTCGACAGTGAATGGACGTGGCCTCATGTTACGAGATTCTCTTGAAGAAGACGCGCCATTTGTTCCATTATGGCCATTGTAATAGCCATACCCATTACTCCTTGAATCCATGGTGAGGGTATTCGGTATGCCGTGTGGTCGCAAGGCCGAAAGCTCGCTCGTGAAGGTAGATATAGATGAGATAAAAAGTCCCAATAAAATTATTTTACATGATCAATTTGTTGTACAATCCCAAGTTGTTATTCGCAATGTATAGCTGTTTTTCGTGGAGGCACTGTAAAGTTGTCGACAGAACAACCTTTCAACTTCACCATTAGCTAGTAGCCGTCCGTAGGTACCTAGGTAGGTATGCAGCCTTGCGCTATCTTTGGATTGGATGGCTCTGGATGGGTCTTTGACTAGCGCGACTTCTTTCCTTTTGGCTTCGGCCTTGCATGAATGCGGAGTGGGTTAGTAAGGTAAAGTTAATTTATTTTCGACGAACACCACAATCAAAATGAGCTTCAAAATGTCTTCGATAGGTCATCTTGCATTTTGTACAGATTGTGGTAATGTTTTTCTTTTCAGACAGCCCTACTGGCAACAAGAATATCATTTTGATACACGATTGTATACGATTGGATTGTTGTGAAGTAGAAAATGGAGTCAAGTTTACCAGTACCAGGTATTGTATTCCCTTCGCGTTTTGTTTCATTCGCATCGTTAAAGTGAATACCCCGGATCAAAGTTTACTTCTAGATAGTACCGTTCTCTGCAATTTCAAGATATGATTCTCTTCAACGCCGACAAACCTCGTAACGAAAGTTACTCCACGGTCCACAAATTACTCATCATGTGCAGGATTGGACTTCATATTTTGGAGTTTGGTAGGAAAATTTGCAATATGTTAATGGCCCAAGCACTTTGGCACCAGCCATCATTTGAATTAAATACAGGCGACGAATTTTAGAGAATATAAACAACTAGGCCGCAGCAACAGCCTCCTTCCCTGGGATGAACGCATACTCAGTCTCCCCATTCTTCTCAAACTCCGCCATATCCAATGCAACGATAACACTATCCCTCACAACCTTGTCCTTATCTTCTAAGAACTTCTTTAGTGTGGCTTCAACACCTTCCTCGTCACCTAAACTTCCCAAAGCCTCAGCTGCCTCATGTCTAACCATGCTAGCCTCCTCCAAATTACTGAGAGATCCAACAAGAGCAGGGATGGATGCTGGATGAGATAATTGCCCAAAAACGAAGGCAATTTCGTGTCTGAAAAGTGCGGATGGATCATGGAGACCTTTCGCGAGGGCAAGAACAGCAGGAACGGCGGTGGGAAGATCAGGTGGTGATGCAAGATCTCGAAGAGCAAACATGGCTCTGTATCGTTTAAATAAAGACGTTTTGGTATCTAACAATGTTTCCTCGAGTTTCTCGATTGAAAATGACCCTGAATTTCCTTCTGCGGTTGGTGGAGCTGGGTCAATTGATGCGAAATCCCTATAATCACAAGGATTGTTAGTATTGCGATACAAAATATATCTCACGCGATCAGTGAAAACCGTCTGTTGCATGGGAACCAAGAGCGCATTTCCCACGCGCTCTGCGCAAATACCCGTTTTTCAGAATAAATAAAAATTCAACTCACGATTGTCGTAGCTTTTCTGCCTTGCCCGCATCTGAATGCTCCCACTCGATTCTATCCACACTCAACTCACACGTCTGGCTTACCTCAACCGGCTCAGTAGTATCATCCCGCCTCTCCTTAAGCAACTGCAAAGAATCCTTATCACCCAACGCACCCAATGCCTCCGCAGCCTCATGTCTAACCATACTGTTCTCCTCGCGATTCTCTAATACTGCTCTCAAATATTTCGAACACTCAAGATTCCTCGTCTGTCCCAAGCAATAGGCAAGCTCATGTTTCAAAAGTGCGGAAGGAGAAGTAAATGCAGAGGCGATGGCTTCAATAGCGGCGATATTGGAGGATGAAGATTGAATAGAGGCGAGATGTTTAAGGGAGAAAAGAGCGCGAATACGGAAATCGAGTGGAGTGCTTTCTGAGCAAAGAGTTTTTCGCAGAGTGAGGATGGTGGCGTTTGCCGTCTCTTCTGGAGCAGGAGATGTTGCTGATGGAGCCATACTATTGAAATTTGGTGTATATGATTGTAAAATGACGTTGGGGTAGAAAGGCTGCACTTCCCGGGGAGAAGAAATAGATAGATAGATAGGATGGCAGAAATATTTTTAAAGCTTCCGGCCCGGAATCAAAAGTTCGGTACCCTTAAACTGCCCGCACTACTTAAACTAAAAAATGCGGTCGATGCGCGGGGCTCTGCTTAGATTACATAATATGGCACCTGCATCAGGTCTGTGCATGTAAAAGCGGAGAAGGCTAGCATCTGTGTGGGGCACCTCCAAAAAAGAAAAAGAAAAAGAGGAAGATTCTGAAAACCCCAAAACAACTTCAAAAATTGTGGTTGAAATTCAGAATCAAACTGAATTAGCGAACAACCTTCAGATGAGAAGGTCGTAATAGGAATCGAACCAATATCTCCGGAATCAGAATCCGACGTGCTGACCATTACACCATACAACCTTTTACGTGATTTTGTTATTGTTCATCTCGCAATTCCGATATTGATAATAATTGTCGGCTTGCCGACACAAAACCTTGCTGTATACGAGGTTTACCCGGTGTAGGTGATAGAAAATGAGAAACTCGCTTAAGTGAATCGCGATCCTGACAATCTGATTGGTCTAAAATACCCGCGGTAAATAATCTAAAAAAAAAGCTTGGCATAAGCCTCACAACCTCAGGCAAATCTGACTTGAAGCTTTTTGAAATCATTCAACTATATCGTACTGTTGACATATAGAACAGGAACCAGCAGTCCGGTATCTATTTATATTACCAAGGCGTTGAAGCACACGGATGCAATGAATGATACTTTACATGTGTAAGTACCTAGATATTCACTGCATACAGATTCCGGTACAGTGGATATGCTCAATTGTAACACATTCGCGTTTATCACTAAAATAAATGGGTGAGTGAGTCATTAGGTTAAAAGCGTTATAACCATCTTCCAAAAAATTTCATCGTTCTAAAGAAACAATACAAATCATGTGTTCATAACCATGTCGAAAACATGATAAAAGTCAGAAAGCTCCTTCTCTTTTAGATTCCAAACATCCATCAATAGGTGCCCGTAGCACCATTGCTTAATGTCCCGTTACCATGGCCACTAACAAGACCGTTCACCTTTCCATTGGTGAGAGCTACATGATTACCATTCGTCTTTGCTTTCACATGACCATTAGTGCCGTTTAGTTGGCTGGCCTTCTTCGCAGCCATCTCAATTACTCTTTCTTCTTCCATTTTCGCGTTCTCGGTGTAACCCGTATCAGAAGCGTCGACAAATGCCTCTAAACCTTCTCCATTTCTTGGATACTCTTTCATCAGCTCTTTGTGGCGATGTAAAGCCTCATTCATTTCCTCGGCAGAGACGTCATTGAGGAAACTACAAGATCCAAGTGGATTTGGGACTGCAGCTCTCAATTTGCCGTCTCGTGTTTTGAGAATGGCGGCAGTAGCCTTTTGAAGAAGCTCCTCATCAAATTGATGATGATCCATTGAAAGACCTGCACGTGAAAACAAGTTTAAGATACGACGATGCTCTTCATCACTTAAGAGCTTTCGTTGGTTGGCAAGTGTTGCTGAGTATGCCATATCAATAGAGATTGCATGACCATGTCGGAGTGGTGTCTCAGGTACGAGTTCATGCAGTGGTGACCACCTAATAATGTTAGTAACGATTTAAAATCTATAGCAGCAGGATCACTCACGTGTGTCCATAAGCGATGACACGATCCAAACCAATCTCGTGGAGATTTGGTGTTTCCAACTTCAACATTTCATAAATACCCTCTCTGTTGATCTTGTCTGCTGCTTCAATCAATTCATTTGAAGAACCATTGGCTCGACCAAAAGAATTGTCAATGAGCTGTTCACAGTACTTGTCCAGCAAATCGAAAGTGGGAAGATGAGAGCATGATGATATCTTAATCAATTCCGCAAATCCATTGCGAATCTGGGCCGTGGGCAGTGTTCGCAAGAATGTGAAATCAAGGAATGTATGAATAGGGGCATGGTAGGCACCTAGTCTGTTCTTGTAGTTGCCATAGTTCACTGCAACCTTAATTGATACAGATGCATCAATTAATCCAATGACAGTGGTTGGAACACGAATGAAGTTGGTGTTTCGCCTATATGCTGCGCATGCAAACCTGCGAAACAATTAGTTATCTGACTTTAGTCACATTATTTCGAAAAGATTGAATTGCAACCGCATGCGACTTACCCAGCAACATCGGTGACAAGACCTCCTCCAACAACAAGGACTGGCTCCTAAAAGTTTGTTAGAATAGAAATTGATAAACTGTTAAATGTCGGTTAGAGTACAAACTTTGCGATAGATTCCAAATTCGGTCATGGAATCCACAATACTCAAAAACGTAGGGATGGTTTTTGCCTTTTCTCCGATCTTTGTCTTGTGCAAGACTAGTTTGATATTATAATGATCGAAATACTTTTCCATTTGCTTTCCATAGACATTGTAGATATTTAGGTCAGTGACAGCTAAACATCTTCCCCAATGAGCATAGCAGTCCGCAAGGTTTGGATTATCGACATTGAATACACCATCAATAAAAGTGAAGTCATATTCAATCTTCTCATAACCTTCAACATGGAATCCGGCATGGCCAGAACTTGTTGTGGTCTCCGAAACGGTCGCTTTGAGGTCGGACATATTAAAAGATCTTAAATGAAGTGTACTGTGGGAAGTCTTGCTGCGGATGCTTCGACAGATCTCGGGAGAGGGGGCTTTTTAAACAACACAAGGCAGAGATAGGACGAAGTCAGCGTCACTAAGACTTTACTACTAGATTTGCTAATATTGCGCCATCATACACCATCATACCCCAAGGCCATACTATGTCTCATTAGTACACCGCAGGTCTATCAAATATACACCGATACCTTTCAAGTAACATATCGATATTGGTCAAATGCGAGCAGTTGACGTACGGAGATTGTTCAGTCGAACATGCAAGGTGACCATAGCCAGTCCACAAAATAAATCTATGACATTATCACCCCACGCTAACCAAGAACGGTTCAGCCACCGCAACGTTTCCAGACTACCTGGAGGTCAATTCCGAAACCAGGAACAAGCAATACAAAAAATATGAATTACCGGGCGAAACCGCAGTGTGCAGTAACGAAAATGCACTAAGCAAGCGCGAAGAGAATGCAAAGACCAGGAAAACGGCCCGCCCCTGGCATGCAATACCATAGCATGAGCGAATTCCATGGTCCACGATCAGCTGGTTCCAGATCTCGGGTAGATTGAGTCGATGGTTCGCCCTACACTATCTTCATAGCTTTTCTGGTCGGAAATCTTGACACTTGGTATAGTAGCACGGCATCCGCATCTACCCGTTCGTACTACCACAGGTTGGAGGCGTGTCTTTGCTTATCATTTTCATTGGGAACTATCTGCTATCTTATAGATTGCTCCAAATTTTAGGTGACATTTCCGTAATTCTGTCCTATTCTGTACGTTTTTGAAAAAGTACTGGTATGGTTCATAGATTTGGTAAACAAATTTTCCACATGCCTTTTCAAGCTAAAACCAGCCTTAGTGCATAGATGTAATTGATATATGCATGTGGAGAGATGGTTTGATAATCGACTTGAATTCAACATCGAATACGACATGTCAAAAAATCAATGACACTAACATCTGTTCAAAAATGCGAAAATCAAGATCCGAACACGGCAGCAGTGCCTAGAAAGCTAGGCCACGAATTTCTCGGAAGATTATATGCAGTGAAACATCTTGTATTCACTATGCCATTTCCGGATATTTGCGGTTAGAAACGTTTGTTTCCGCAAACAGGCCCAATAGTAAGTATTGCATTGCTCTCTGCGACTTTTGCAAAGACAACGACATGGCTCAATTCGACAAGGCAAAATCTTATGCTTCGCAGGAAGAGGTATTCGTGGGTTTCCTGGTAAAGATCAAGTATACTTCACTGCTAATGTTTCATGTAGTTCGATGATGGGCGAGAGGAAGAACTTGTTGAGTTTGTACGAAATCATCCTGATCGATCCGAAATTCAAGGTTCGCCAGCAAACGTATTGCAAGCTATCGATGAATATGGGCGAACGAAAAGATACCTCATGAACGTCGGGGAGAACAAAGGAGCGATTGTTACCAATATGATCAGAGAAAAGAAACCTGAAATAATGGTCGAGCTAGGAGGATATTGCGGATATTCCACGATACTTTTCGGGTCCGCAGTACGAGCTGCGGGAGGGAAGAAGTACTACTCGTTAGAGAGAAGTCCGAAATTCGCGAAAGTTATTAGTGCGCTGGTGAATTTTGCTGGTCTCGAAGGATTTGTTGAGGTGGTCGTTGGTCCTAGCAACGAGGGAATACAAACACTACATTCCCGTGGATTGAAGACCATTGATATGATGTTTCTAGATCATTATAAGCCAGCGTACACGACTGACCTGAAGTTGTGTGAACAATTGGGTCTGATCAAGGAAGGAACCGTTCTCGCTGCCGACAATGTTATCAGCCCAGGAAACCCCCCGTACTTAGAATATATACGAAGCACTGTGGAGAAAAAGGTGGAGAATTTAAAGCAGAAAGGGAAGTTAGATACTGATAGATTTGCGAAACGATCCGCAACTCAATATGGTGAGGTTGAGGCGTTGGACACCGAAATCAAAGGCAATCCCAACCTCATATATGAGAGCGAATTGGTTAACAGCTTCGAGCCTACTGGAGAACCGGTAAATTACCTGACTCTGATGAAATGGATTTTCTGACCATATTGGTTTAGGATGGAGTAGAGATAACGCGATGTGTGGGGGAAGTTGAAGGAACTTGAACTCAGTCATAGATTTTGAGGGCGGGTTGGCATCTTGACCGGTTTGCGGTCAAGACAAGAGTCTTCACTGTGGACCTTCTCAATTCCGTATCTAGACATAAGAGTGAGACGCGAATTACCACAGTGCCGACGTGGTTCTTTTTGTAACTTCTACCACTCAGTGACTTCTCGACAACTCAAGTAATAATGATACGATTTCCATTTGTAGCTGTATAACTCTGACAAGAATGCTAATGCCACTGAATTGTGTGATGGCTCACGATGAACGTGGCGCAAGAGGCGGTATTGCATGAGCTAAGTGATATTGTACAGATAAAACCAAGACGTGAAGTTGATGATGTAGAAATAAGGTACAAAGTTCCTTCCAAATCAGACCAGGCGCCTAAACTTCCGAGATTATCCGGCCGACTTCCAAGTATCACCCCGAGGATTTCCCGGCGCGGCCTAACAGCGCCAGAGGACACACCAACACATCTCAAAAATTTCAAAATTTGATCATTATTTCAATTTATAAGATATCTGGTTATGGCGATAAGCGCCAGGTTGACACGATGGTAATTTTGCATCCACTCGTATATCTCCCTCCTGGAGATGGTAGAGGAAATAGATGAAGACTTCTTAGTAACTGTAGGCTTTTCGTGTACGAAAAGGCATCAGAGCTCTTTTTTTTGTTCCTATATTTGACCTATGCTTCCCGCCCCGCAAAAGTTCTCGGCCTCGCTTATTTTCAAAACACAGCCAAAAGAAAAAGGAAAGAAACACAACTTCAAACACTTCACGACTTAAAATACCCATTGTGTATTCAAAAACAAAGTTTTGAAAGCCTCAAAATTAAAAATTATATGACCAGACTGGGGCACGATCCCAGGACCTTGTCCGTGTTAAGGACACGTGATAACCAACTACACCATCCGGCCGATTTCATTATGAAGAAAATTTCCGTTATTAAAGATTATAGATCAAATTCAATTAAGACCCGCTTTTTGTGTTTATTAAAGGATTTCGCGGTAAATCCTCGGCATCTCCACCATTATTCTGGAAAGTAAGTGTCCAGTTTCTACCTCGATAAGAACGACAATCCTTTTATGAAAGAGTTATATATTTTCCTTTTAAACCACCTATTTCAATGAACTTGCAACTGAGTCAAGGATTCCGGGATAGTGACCAATAGTTGGACTACAGCTAGCAGACTAGATATATATGAGCAAACAGTTCAATATTCAAAATATTAAATTCAGCATCTCATATTCTTTAAACATTCAAAGGATCAGAATGTTTTTGTTTTAAACAATTTTAATATTCAAAATGGACATGGGAGTTTGAATGGAAATGTCCTATGTTAATCGAACATTCTAAAGAAATTGCAGGATCAAAATGATTTCAATATTCGGTGGGTTCTCTTATTGTTGGATGCAATGGTCAAGACATCTTCTTAGACGAAGCGCTGGGAGAGCTAGAGGCTGGGAAAAGATGTTGGTCTAACCTTAACCTTGGCCAGCATCGGATTGAAAAGCGCGATGAAGTATCACGACATATATGAAACTGGCTCATGCAATGAATGATATAGATCACGTAGAAGAATAAAGTTATAGGTATCTTCGCTTGCAGAGGTATGTAATTGTCATATCTGTGTTGGGATGAGGAGCGTCAGGAGTCAAAGTTCATCCTTAAAGTCCATCGTCAATGTTTAATCCATCGTTAAAGTACATCGTTAAAATTCATCATTAGAGTCCATTCACTAAAGACCACCATTCAAGTTGAAAGTTGCAGTACATCGTTAAAGTCCGCCATTAAAATCCATTCCTTGATTACCTCCAAGTTTGATCCCTCTCCATCAATCCACTTACCTAGTGATCTGCGCGACCCCTGCCTTTCCTCTTGCGTCAACCAACGCCTGAGCCTGCACCCATGCCATCTTCCTGCTTTAGCTGTGACTGTACTTCTGGGTCCAGGAATCAGCGAGCATGCCACTCATTGACTTGAGAGACAAGCAATCGCAGTTTTTGCCGCTTAGGCTCATAACCTTTTGCAAGAACCATCATCATCGTTGCCATATAGAGCTCCCTCGTCGTCTTTTCAGTAACACCTCTATCTGGTCTCTCTGGTAGATCAGAACAAATATCCTTGAAGTACTTTTTGGCACTCTTCACTACCAAGACTCTTATAGCTGTCTGCAATCTCCTTCAAAAGCTCTTTCTAAGCCTTCTCTGATAAAGTCAATGAGAGGTTACATGCAACTCTTAACATTACCACGAATTCAGAATGTTTTTGGAGCCGATTTTGAATGACTTCAGCAAAGTAATCCTGCTTCCCTCTTGATATGTTGCTTAACTTAGTGGCGGAGGATACACGAGGGCTCGTTTTGGATGGAGGATATTAGTGGTATGGTTGCGAGTGGAGTTTTTTCGAGTAAATGTGAAACTTTCTGTCTAGCCTATGGGCAAATTGTTGCGTCGAATCGCAGGAACCCTGAGAACCTTGATTGCCAAGATAGATGGGGCTTGGAACTCCCACCGTCTCTTCGATCTCACCAATCTAGAGCTGCTATCGCGATGTTGCACACATGCCGGCGGACGAGATAAACCGATCCAGACCGAGGCAGTTTCACCAAATTACCCTACCCCAACCGCCGGAACAGAAATCTAGACAATTTCTAAAATGCAGGCGTGCCGTTCGGGCATATTTGTGAAGAATCGGGCTAGGGATTGTGATTTAGGACGGATTCTTAGACCTCTTTTGTTCTTGCATGTTTAAGTATCAAGTGATTTTCGCAACGATTGATCCAGCATCACCGACTCAAAATCGTGTGAACAGGCGTGAGAGTTGGGAAATAAGACATAATCTTGTAGATCTAGGAAGGCCAAACTTGAGCGAAACAAGGGAGAGATGTTTAGATTGTAAAACTTAGTAAATAGAACACTGAAAATGTCCATGCCGAGAATTTCTTAAGCTGATTTTTTGCCTCAGGCCACAGAGCCACCTGAGATAACCTGAGATAAGACCAACATTTCAACGAACAGCAATTGAAACAAAGAGAAGTGCTATTTCTTATGTTATTGGACGGATAATGCAACGAGCTCAGTCTTATAGTGTAATGTGAATTCTTCGGCATGAGGCTGATTGTCTCGTTATCTTATTGTTTTGATGTTTCAATTGAGTTTCGATTAGTAAGTGGGGGGCGTCATGGTGCATTCCTACGCAACAGCCGAGGCTGCCAGAAGAAGTGGATAAATATCTTAATACGGGCGCTTCACGACAACAGATGGTCAACAGCCCACTTGGCGCAGTGGTACCGCGTAGCACTCGTATCATCGAATTCGGAAATGCTAAGATCACTGGTTCGATTCCAGTAGTGGGCAATTCGTATTTTGCATTTTTGTTTTTAAGATTCGATCGAATCTCTCAATCTTGCCGCTAAACGAGCTTTAGATAATTATTCTGTTTTGCGGAATAATTGTCACTCATCGGCGGCTGTAGGTTCCATTAACTCGGCCAACCCGGCAAGATTGTTACTGGTGTGAGTTTGACGAGTACTAGAATATCAGTCAGCCCTACCAAACAACGTTTACAAGCATTCCTCCGACTCTTTGGAGAGTCACACTTTCTTTCCGCCTTTTACCGACCCTCCAAGTAAACTAAAAGCAGAAACAACTGAAAAAGAGGTCCTGATACCGATCTTTCCAACATCCTTAATATATATGCCTCGTCGTTCATAGCCACAATCGACGGGGTTTGGTGATGAAAAAGGCAATAATCGAGGCGCAAGTGGCCCTTCGACAACGACCCAATGCTTCTCGACTATATCCCCAGTTAGGTGACGTTCGATGGACACGGCAACAGCAGAGCCAGAAGAAGAGGGAAGCCAGCCCAGAATTGAAATATCCCAGTCGATGGAGAATGAAAGAGTCAAAGGAAATAAGAGTATATCGTCCAAGCTCGCCGAATCTCCATTTCGGAGTCGGGCTGGCGAGTCGGTTTTCAGAAGGCAAATTGCCGTTCTTAATGAGGGCGGAGCCGGGAGCTGGAGGAAGGTTCAACGCAAAAAGAGACTGCTTGGAACGTAAGAAGATAAAGGCGCTTGCAAGGGGATCGAGGAACCATCTTCCATAAGGGCCAGAACTATGAATGTTAAAGAAAAAACATAGTATATAACGAAGTCAGCAAAACCAGTAAAAGCCGTAGTCGAAATAACTGGGCCGACCGCCGAAGCATCGAGCTCGGAAGAAGGGATACAACATGGTGGGCATCGTGAAATCATCGGATGCGTCCAAGGCGAAACCGGCGTAGACGGCTACGAAGCCTCAACCGCAAAAGCCGAGCTTACAGGCACGCAAAGAAGGCAGTAAGGAGCCGAGAGATTAGGCTTGAGCAGACCCAACCAGACGCAACGTCAGCCCAGGGATGTCGAAACGAGGAGTTACAGGAAGCCAGGAGATTTCAGAGAGCAGGGATCACGTGGAGGCGCCAGCCAATAAACCAATTCGGCCCAAGAGACTCCTGGTAGAAGATAACATTTTCTATAACCTAACCAATCCTTTTTTAGTACCTTGAACGTATAACCGCAGAAAACCGAGACTTAAGCTGATAAGAAACTGGAGGAAAGGAAAGGAGCGGAGGAGGAACGAGCCGAGAAACAACGAATCAAGCTTAGAAAGCCTAGGGGTAGGAGCCTCTTAGGGTCAATTCGAGCCAGCACCACGGAAACCCGAGCAAGAAATTGATACGGACGATGCAAGATTCGCCTCCGGAGAAGGAGGCCATCACACATGTCGAGGGCAATCTCGATAATCTCTCCGAGCAGCGGGTAGGGGAGCTCGAGCGAGAGAATCAAGAGTTGAGACAAAGAATGTCAATTGAGGTGGTGCAGCACCAACTCGAGAAATCTAGAGCTCAAGCCACTGCGATAAAATGGAAGATGGGGCCTGAACGCTTTGAGCATCTTCGATCGATCTAGCTCAGTTCTTGCTACCGCAGAAGCCATAGTCAATAAGTTCAGGTTTATGCTGAGGAAGACGTTCGAGTTACCCCCGGAGAAACCCACAGACAAAAAGGTGTCGGCCGAGCCATACATGGCAGCGGAAGCTAATGGAGAGGTTTCTAAGTTTCTCGCAAAGGATGGCACGAGTTCTTATGGAGATCGAGATATATAGGACGCCAGTTACTGTAGCGAGGAGACGAATTTCAAGACTACTTGAGGTGACTCTTGAGACCCTGACGGTGTTGGCAAGTCTATTGACAGAAGGACACGTGTTCAATCTCGAGGGAAACCCAAGGCGCCATCGCTTTGCCAGAGACGAATTTGGCTGGCGACACATCCTATTCCCTCCAGGTTATCCAGCCAGCCGACTTCCATCTTAGCTCTTTAATAGACATAACCAAAGCATCCGAGATATCTAGATATCATTCTTTAAGAATTGGAAACGAAGAATAGATGCAATTTAAGGACGAGGAACAGAATGATTCGGCCAAGGGAACTCACAACCGGGATCAAGAAGCATTGGAGGACATAGCCTTAGGTGAATGAATGGGACCGAGCACTTACAAGAACAGGCGGAGAAATAGGACGGATGGGCAGGTTCTCAATATACTTGGCGCATTTAGCACAAGATCCTCATGCATTTTTTAAAGGTACCACGGATATTGAAAAGGGTTCAACAAGTAGCTGTCTTGAGCCGGGAAATCCTGTAAAGGCAAAAAAAGACCACATTTGGTCACATAGATCTTCACCGGATAAGGCACTATAAATAGTTCTTCCGGTAGCTAGTTCCATATCATCCGTTTTCCACTCAGTGCTAGAACAATTCTCACTCTCACAGTAGTGAGGATCATTTTATTAGTGAGTGTTTCAGACCCGTGTCAGAATAACCTTTGCCGAAGTCCAAGCTCAATCAATCAGTCTTGCTGGTCCGTGCATTTGTTCAATGTAGCCTTTCTTACCTAATTATATTAATGATGTCAAATAATGCGAACTTCATTTCATCTCTATCTTTGTCTTCTCTGGAAAACCCTCTTCCTGTAATTCTCTATATTGCTGCATCGCACAGCTATCATCACCCATTCGCCTGCATATCCTTATGTAAAGATCAACTCGAGTTCCTGCCTTTCTCACTACACCCCGCGGCTCCACCCTTCACGACTTTACTTTTCTCCCCGCATGGCTGTCCGCTTCTGATAAAGGTGGGAAGCGCACACAGCAATGCCTCTCCCACCAAGGCTTTTCCACGGTGATGTGGAGTTGGGGAAACGAGATGATGATCATAAGTCTGGCTCGAAAGCGCCACTAGGATTTGCTTGGAAACATCGAAGGCCACATGTCCAACGTCGATCGATCAAGAAGATTATATTAGGTCTATTGGTTGGAATTGGGCTCTATTACTTCTATAAGAATATGCCGACAGATCTTCAGAATCCGCGACAGAGACCCCATTATACGCAGACTGGAGCGGTACCTGCAAAAGCTGGCTCGAAAGCTCCCTCTTCCCAACTGAATCCAAATCATGTCTCGAAAACAAAAGATAGTGAATCTATCGAGATAACTGGGCATGACTTCAATGGTCCAATCAGATTCTATCAACTGGCTTCGACTTTACATGCGATGTCGAGGGTTAAAGGTTCTGATCCTGTCAACAATAATGTGGTATGTCGTTGGCCAGGACCCAACGTCATCGTTTCGAAACTAACGGTTTCTTAGTTATTTGCAGCTTCGAGTTTGAAAAGCGCTTCAAGTTTATTACCTATTGCGTGCGAAATGGCTTTGAGAGAAAGAAATTATGTACATTTTGCGTTTATGGGGAGGGATGATATTCCAATGGATATATTGAAGTCCGTTAATGGCGTTAATAAGGATTGCCAGATTTTTTTTCATGGTATGGAAATCTTCTAATTAATTTGTTGCATGTTTCTAACCTGGTTAGATGCACGACCCGACTATTCTTTACAGAGCTCAGATTTCCGAATGGAAGTTAGTTGTTCCGCTGGTCTTAAGCATATCAACTCTTTTGTCCACCCACAAGCTGTTATTGTTGATGCATCTGGGGATGAGAATGATTACTTGATCTCGACGTTTAAAACTCGAGCCAACGCATTAGACATAACCTTGATTGAACTTCCTGCAAATGTTGAACAAAATCTTATGTGGATTGTTCAATTGGATAGTGCCTCATTGAGTGGTAAGTGCATCTCTGAAGGAAAGCGCATGCCCGTTTGGCTAATGATCATAGCTTGGACCAAAATCAGTATCGATGTAATTGTTCACGCGCAACCAGAAAGATCTGGATCTTTGATTAGGTTACTCACATCTCTCAAGAATGCCGATTATTTTTCCAGCAACGTACCACGATTAACGATAGAATTACCGCACAACGTAGATGAACCAACCAAGCGATTTCTTTCAAAATTCAAGTGGCCACCAAAGCGTAGTCAAGGCGAGGGTAGTCTCCTGACACTTCGTCATCGAATTCCACAACACGGACTTAGTGCAGAAGAAAATTCGATTAAATTCATGGAATCATTCTGGCCTGCAGATCCTATGTTCGCCCATGTCCTTGTTCTCTCTCCTCAGGCTGAACTTTCGCCTCTCTACTTCCATTACCTCAAATTCGCGCTATTAGAGTATAGGTACTCTTACAACAGAGCTGTGGCTCAAAAGAATATGCTTGGGATAAGTCTTGACCTTCCAACTACTTATCTCAATGATTCAACGGTATTTACTCCACCCAAATCAACAAGTACAAAACCGAGTCCATTTTTATGGCAAGCTCCAAATAGTGACTCTGCTCTTTATTTTGGAGACAAATGGGTGGAACTTCATGACTTCACAGCCAGAACGATGTTTTCTCAACACACCTCACCTTCACCAACTACTTTGGGTAATAACTACGTCAGTAAAACATATCCATCATGGTTAGAGTATGTCCTCAAATTAGCGAGGGCACGCGGCTATTGGACTCTTTACCCCAATTTCGAGAGCTGGGATGCTCTATCTACAATCCATACAGACCTTTATACACCACCAGAAGAATACATGAACAATCCGGATGAGGCAACGGATTTCACAGCAAACCCAGCGGAACATCTATCTTTAAAACAAAAAGACGAGCCATTGATAGAAGGTTCTTTACAAACGCTTCTATCGGATTTACCTGTCGAAATTGCTGAAATGCAAATGATTGGTTGGGATGGTGAGGACATTGATGACGAAGTGCTACAATTACGAGCCAAGGAATACAGTCGAATTTTCCGGCAAGGAATTGGAGGATGTGCCACTGGAGTTGCAGAAAAGAAAAGAGTTCATATGCTGGCAGAGGACTTGTTTTGTTCAGAGCATGAGCCATTGGAGTCTTTGGAATCTCTTGCGCCAATATCGCCTAAGGTAACTTCCGCCTTGGAGTCAAAGGACACTACTAGCAAGACAGCCACAAAAACCGATGGTGTGGTTAGTAATGTAGATAAGTCTTCTACCTAGTGTAAGTAAAGCCTGGTTTATGTCATTTCTATGGTGGGTATATACCGATATGTACAAAACGAACTTTTTTAAGGAGAACCAATGATAGAGAAGTTCTTTCCTTCTTTACCGTGATCGGTATTTATGAGGCTCTTTCATGCGTACGCTTAGATTACTATTGGTCGTTGCAAGTACGGAAGATTGGCCCAAATGCCAAGCACAAAGAACATATGATATGATTCTCGAAGCTGCTCAGGCACCAATGTCGGTTTACTCCTAATTCCCTTGATTCCTCCGAAATTTTGGAGCTTTTGAAAGAAGAAATGATCCGGTTAATAACGAGGAGAAATTTCCTACCATAAAGGAATGGTGTTACATCTCCGACTTCATTGGTGGTGATCTCGTGGTAAATCCAATTCTTTGTTGAATAATCCTTGGAAACATTGAGAAATCTAAATTTAAGCTCGAGACAACACGATTGATCATAAACTTTCCTGGAAATCTCTTAGTTCTAGTATGAGGCTCCTCTCATTTTGACCAGTTCGATTCGCTAGGACTTCGGATGAGATTACTAGGCTTTTCCTTTATTGAAGATCCCCATATGTTTCTTGTTTGAGCGAGTATCGTATACTCTTCATTTGGCAGCAGCATCCATTTCATTCATTGATAGATTGAGTTTATATACAGTTGCTCACTCTGGTCACCTCACTGAAACCAACAACCGTATCAAATAAATAATTTATAGAAGCAAGATATCATTAATTCTCATAAAGAATGGTAGAGCAAATACATCGTGGAACTACATCGTCATGCCGTGGCAGGTTATTTGGCAGATCTCTTAATTTGATAACAGATCTCCCATCACCTCACCAACAACCTTGCTACCCTCATTATATTCAAAATCCTCCAAACTTGCTCAACCCTGCCTACCCCGTCTCTGTCCCCACTCTACCACAGTACAACCAGACCAATTCTTTTTCCGCCCTCCCTCTGACTCAGAACCACCTCTTTGAAATAGTTGAGGCTGTGGCGCCGCAAACCCAACCCCTCCATCCAGAACACAACTATTTACTCCTATCTCTTTCGAGGGAAAACTTGAAAGCACTTTCTCTTCGACAGAAAATTGCGGCAGCGGAAGCGAGTCTTTTTTCTCTTGAACTCGCTTCGGGAGTTGATGGCCCCGGTATCGCAGCGCTTTCTTCTGCCATCGCTAACCCTTTAACTGCCATATCTACTACACAAGTACCCACGCGCCGCAAACTTAAAAAACAAATTTCGTGGTTGAAATGTCGTATCAAGGAGTGTTCGCGGCAGGAAAGGATTATAACAGAGAGGCTACATCAGATTGGCGAAGAAGAGGAGAGGAGGTGGCGCTGGATGCACATTGAACGGCAGACGAGAATTAATGCGGAAATGCTCGGGTGGCAGAAGGGGTATTGGGATTCTATTGTTCGCTGTGGGACCGCGGCTGGATATGGACATGGGTTTGGACATGAATATGGATACGGACATGGACAATGGGATAGGCATTTGAATGCTAATACGCCTGCATCCCAAGCGGTAGCTAGTGGTGTTGCTGCCCATGGTTCGGAATCGCAGTGTTCATCTGCCATAAGAGAACAATCCAACGGATTTTGGAATACAGATGCCCTGTTTTTCACCAGTAAATTTCTTTGCGAAATCCTCTTCATCGCGAAATAGTCAGACAGGGGAAAGACTTAGTAGGGGATGGGATGAATGTGATTTATCACCTTTAGCGGAAGAAAGAGCTGGGTTAGCTGAGGGATGGACTACGGATTTAGGAAATGGAGAAGCCGAGAAAAAAGGAGAAGATGATGACGAATTGGATACGGGAGAAGGCTCAGGTTCAGGTTCTGGGGAAGTAGAAGGAGAAGGAGAAGGAGGAGGACATTCTGCAACAGAAACAGCTATCACGACACCTACGCCCCAACAAAGTGCGAGGATGACCCCGATGACTGGTGCAAAAAGTTGTAATGATGTGAAATTGGCCTTCTGCGATGGGACGTTGGGGAATGAGAAAGAGTTTATGGATTTAGAGGAGCCGAGGGATGATATGGCGGATGGGATGGATAGGAGGGAGGATAAAGGCGAGATCTCGTTCTTGTTTATGAAAGATGGGGTGTTGAGGGAGAGGAAATGTAAAAGTTTACCTTGGGTGGATAGTAAGAGGTTGATTGAGGTATATGCGGGGAAGGAAGAGGGTAAGAAAGAGGAGAAGGAGAAGGAGAAGGAGAAAATTAGGGAAGAAGAGGACGGAACGGAGGGGAGTCGTTGAGGAGGGGAATGAGGTTGATCAGGTTTTGTGAATTATTGGAATGGGACGAGATGGAATGGAAAGGTTTTGTGGTAGGGTTGAGAGTGGATGAAATGGATATTCTTGAAGCTTTTGCACATACTTTTTGTAGATCGTACATAGATAGAATTGTATACAAGGTTCTTTGTGATTTAAAGTGTTATTACATAAATCACGGAGATTGACTGCATAGAAGATTCTTGTTATATGTGTATGTATGGGTCTTAATTCATTGATGTAGATAAAGTAACACCCACCTAATTTCTCAGATTGATCTCGATCCTCTCTCTGTGAACTCCATTCCGATCTTTGAGCGCCTTGAATAGTGCCCCTTTGTAGCCATTGAGATCTCTTACTCTGTGCAGGTGGTTGATTGAGCTTTGTTAGAAGCTTTTGCGATGACAGGAGGTTTTGTTTTGAGAACGCTACTACACTTTTCATCAACTATGGCTGCCAGGTTCCAACTAGTGGTTTCATCACAAGGATGACATAGCATTAGATCTTCAATATGCCATCAGTTTTGATCAAGAAAAATCGACTCGTAGAGCTTCCATGGCCAAAATTGCTTCCTAATTTTGCTCATCGTCTTCCTCGAATCTTCACATCCATATGCCTACCTTGCTAAGTCTTGACGTTCAATATTTCTCTATTGGAACTCTCCAAACTCCCCATCATCAAATCCTAGCTCCTCAGCCGATGGTTCCGGTAATGAAGGAGCTTCCATATTATTCTGACTTAATCTCTTCTTAGCCTTCACTTCCTGGGCACTAGGCGGCGGTGGTAAAAACGACCCCATGCTCGCACCAACCGGCGGAGGCGGCAAAGAAAACCCACCGACCCCTTTCTCAGACTCCTCACTCATCCTCGGAGTCCTCCTTCCCGCACCCCTCCCTCCAATATTAACCGTAATCGTCTCACCCTCCTTCAAACTAAAATCCCTCTTCACCTCCGGTTTCTCCGACTCCTTCTTCATCCCCGCAGATGTAGGTTTTCCTCCCCCTTGCTCCTCTATTCCTAACGTCTTCCTCACTTCTTGTAACGCCACGCTAAAATCAAACGCTTCCGATCTCTCCTCAAATCCTATTCCCAGAACCGCTTTCCTTCCTCCTTCGCCCTGGACCCTCACGGCAAAAAATCGCGAACTGTCCAATACCTGTTCTACCACTTCTGTGACAGTGTATGGAGCCGCGGCAAATAATTGACCGTTGCTTGGATCTTCGAGTAATATATCTGCTTTCACTTTATCCTCGCCATTTTTGTCTGGGATTGCGGTTTCCAGAATGCGAATTCGTGCAGTGAAGATTTGCCGTTTGTTGTTGTCGGCTGTCCAGGTGGAGGCGACGTAGCCTTTGTTCGAGGTGAGTGGTGGGATGTTGTAGATGTGGACTGAGGATGCGATGAAGAGGATTCGTTGGAGGGCGTCGGGTGGTAGAGGTTGACCTGTAGCGGGGTCGATCGTTTCCATGATTTGGAGGAAAGGCGGTTGTATCTTTTTAGCTGGTGGATTTTTTATATCATTATCAGTTAGAATGAAGTGTTTGTAACGTTGTCAAGATCAACAACATGCAATAGTTTTGAATTTATACATTTCTACGAGTAGCTAGTTGCTAGTTGCTCGTTTGCTAGGTGTTCGGCCTTCCCCACAGCCTATCGTTGTATCATAAGGCTACACGTGAATGCCATTTATGATTGGTTGACATAAACCCCAGTCATCATTTCATTGTTTGATAATACTCGGATTAGATTGGAAGACATCAGGACATCAAGTTGTTGATCGCAAACAAATTCATGACTCTATTGATGTTCCATATATTGAGTAATTTTAAGAAACACCTACTGCATCACTTTCCAATCTTCAATAAATTCCAAGATTCCATATCCCGAATACCAAAAATGGATCCAGAACCAGGTATGTAATAAATCCAGAAAATGTCCATGCGATTAATCAACTATTCCTTTAGCTTTGGCGCCGTCAAAAATACATTTCGTAGTGCGTCACAGCCTTGCTAACAAAATTTCCCCTCCTCAATAGCAACACCTCTTTTCGAAGAAAGCTTTCGAAGTACCACTCCACCAGCACTCCCCGGACATCCTCCTGCACTGAAGAAGATGGCTTCCATAGGAAATATTCCCCAAAAGAAGGATTCAAAACAATTCGAGTACACCTATCACTCCAGAACCAATCCCCCAAGAACCCCTCACTGACTCATCATCTCTGCATTAGTATAGTAGAAACCTACCACCGACTTCTCAACGATGATCCAGATGTTACCATGCCAGTAGCTGCCATCGAAGCACTCATTGAACTTCTCGCTTCCTCTCGCGCCGTCACTGTTTACGAAACCCTCGATTTAGCTAAAACCCAATCGGATTATTTGAAATCTCGAATTCCCAATTCCATATCATTATCTGCTGGAACGGATTTATTTCAACGATATATGATACAATCTTTAAAACCTTCCAGTACGGGCAATTTCGAAACTGTACGACAGCATCTTTTGAGTAATGGAAGATTGTTCGTTACGAGAGCGAAGCAGGCTAGATATACGATAGCTACTTATGGGAGAAATTTTATTAGGGATGGAAGTGTGGTGTTAACTCATGGGGGAAGTAGAGTTGTGGGGGCTTTGTTGGATAAAGCGGCCGAGGCGAGAGCTACTGGTGGAAATGTTAGATTTAATGTCATTTATGTTATGAATGATGCGAGGAGCTCGGAGAGTAAAGCGGTGGTTACATCGTTAAGGGCTAAAGGTGTACCAGTTGCTACGATATCAGAAGGAGCTGTAGGATACGCTATGGGGAAAGTCGACTTGGTTATTGTTGGTGCCGAAGGGGTAGTAGAAAATGGGGGAGTCATTTCGAGATTGGGAACATATCAAATTGCGCTATTGGCAAAGGCGGCAGGGAAACCTTTCTATGTCGCCGCCGAAAGTCATAAGTTTGTACGATTATATCCTTTGGGACAATATGATCTTGGGATAGATCAGGAGATTATCGATTTTCGTACTGAGGATGATAGACCTGGAGATCAAACTCCAACAACTGAGGAGAGGACGGAATATTTTAAACCAGACAAGATTGAGATGTCAAAATTGGATGCTGTTGATCCAGTGGACTTTACGGTAAGTAGTGTCCATTGAGATTTTGATATATTACTGATTATTTCATAGCCTCCAGATCTGATCTCAGCACTCATCACGGAATCGGGAGCGTTGACTCCAAGTGCTGTTAGTGAGGAACTGATTAGTTTATGGTATTGAGTTGTGGTAGTAGGAAGAGTAGGAAGAGGAACTACGCAACTAGCAAGTCCATCTCGCATACTCAATGATTCCATGGCGTCAGGAGTACAAAACAATTTTACCGACAGGATAGTTGATGAACGACCGCTAGGCCACTAGAGATGATACGATACCCATAAACGTCCTATGAATATGATCAGATGATAATCTGATATTGTTGTTAAATATAGTCCAGGCTCGAGAGATTGGATGGAAATTCGAGGTAGAATTGATTACCTAGATGTGGAGAGATACAAATGTATATAGCTAGATTTTTTCTGGGGTGTTTTTTAGAGGTTGATAGATATCCATCTATGAATGAATGAGTGAGTGAGTAATTTGAGAGGATAAGAGAGGAGAGAGAAGAGAAATCCAACTAGCGCGGAGACTGTATCATGAATACTAGGTATATATACGTAAATAAACATATGACTTTAGTAGTAATACCTATTCTTCAATCTGCAGGGCAAACATCGCCAGTGTTAAGACTTACAATTTGGTGAGTGTATGAGTTCGATTTAATGAATAATGATAATTGGGGTGTATTATCAGATAGCTTTGAAGGGAGCGGGAGGCGCGGTGGATGGGGGATAAGGGATGGATGGTGAAGCTTTGCTGGAGCTGGAGGCGCTTGTGTGTTATATGGGATGTGGTGTGCACTACCTAGTACTTTCGGGAGGGTCCGGTTTTTGGTTTTGTTTTTTAGGAGATCTTGTAGATTTTTGTGTGGAGGGAGTTATTGGTGAAGCTTTGGAGGTTATGAAGATGTTTGAATTCTTTTTTGTGCTGGGAGAGATCTACGTATTATTGACCTTCTGAATACCACGCCACACTCTGATTCAGTAATTCCATTCTCAGCAATATCCTCCTTGTTTCCTCCTCCTCACTCTTCCTATGACCTTAGTGACTGCCGGTGGTGATTTTCGATAATCATGGCATTCTGGCTCACAATAACGAGATTTCGACTGTGGATTGAGAAATGCTTTCCCCATTTTAGTCATAAGCGTCGTTGTACTCGTGGTTTTTATTTTATGATGATAAGCTTAACTACAACCGCTTCATGAAGACGTCGACAAAGATGTATACAACATGCAGGATAAATGTTTAATAGGCCGGGAGCTAGAACTGAAGTACGACCTTATACAGTTGGAGATGATGTTTATTTGCCGCCTCAATCTTAGGAGCCTGTGAGAGGGAAATCTGGCGTTGCTCAACCATCATCAATACCGTAGAACTGACATTTGCGCATGTATAGAGGGATGAGAATGTGGTTTCGAGCTTGGGTCTCGCAGTGGCTATGATACCTGTCGATTGTTTATACAATGAGGCACATAGCGATGGCGTTGATAGAATATCACGCCTGCTGGCCTGCGATTGGATGTCGTTCAATAGAATGCTGGGTGGCTTTCATATTATATCGAACGCCCGTCCCACTGTCTCTGGTACTTTTGTCGGGTTGTATGAAAGCGCTTTAATAGTGTGGCGCGGTGTCGCGTGCGAACAAGAGTGATTGCAAACTGCTTCATCCAGAAACATCGATGTAGAACCTCCAACATCAAATCTTTCATACATGAGGTAAGAAATGTGGTTTGAATTTCTTGTTCGCTCGATCAGCTGCTCGGTACATGAATTGTTCACCATGTAACTCAAACACCAGATCTTTGGCGGATTTTCCATCCTTCTCTAACGTAGTACCTTCGTTGCTTGCCTGTACTGGTATCGTAAATTTGAAAATGGTATTTTCCTTTGGTAGAACCTTCAAATCATTATTCTTCGTGATAATCTCAAAAATTCCCTTGGAATCTTTAATCACAATTCCCTTCACACCGACCCTACTCACACACCTACTTCTCACAACCTCAAGCTCCGCTCCATGATAGTCGGCACTGCATAATTTAGCAGCTGCAGGTCCAGTAACTGGCATACAATTTTTCCCTCCTAACACTTCCGAAATATAACCCAACCACATTTTATGTAAAGGCTCGTAGATGCTGTATTTTTGTGCCGATTTGGGTACATCATACAGACATAAAGCACGCTTCTCTCTAGCTGATAGAGGGGCGGGCTTCAATTTCTTCTTACGTAGAGCAAGTTTTCGCTGTCGTTCGAGACGTCGATGTTGTTGTTCATTGTTTGGTTCTGTAGGTTTGAGGTGTAATGGTCGCTGTTTTATTTTCTCGGTGAAGATCCTGTTCGTAGTATCAGGAGAATGCGCTCGCGATAGTAATTGAGTTGCTATATTATTATCCTTTGATGTCATTTTTGGGAATTCGCTGAATTTGTTCCCGGTTGAGTTTGTCGCAAAATAAATATTGAGCTTGGAAGAGCCTATATCTCCCAAAATTCACATGCTAAAAAAAAAGTTCTAGATCATGAACGCTAAACTAGTTTTGGTGACCCCAGATTCCGCTGGTGCCTTTCAAGGCAATGGCGCGCGCCCGGCATCCCTCACCGAGGCTTAGTACTAAACAATGCTTCAAAAATAAGCTTCCGACAACAATGTATATGTTTGGTTCCGGCAATCAATGATCCTATGCGACAATGATCATTTCATAACATCATCTTTTGAATACCGACAAAGATGGCAGATACTAAAACTCCATCTCCTCCAAGGACTTCGGCTCCTGATCTCGAAATCCTAGGTGATCAAGTAACATTACATCCTAGTGGTTATATCGAACCTCCGGAAAGACCTCACGATGGCGAGAAAGAAAGGAACCTAGTGGAGCATATGGCCAGATTTAGGTCAAGTCCTTTGGAGTTTTTAAGAGAGGTTTCTTTGCATGTTTCAGGAGTAAGTACTCTCATCAATTGAAATGCGTTGTCCATTGCTAACCTCCGGCATTCTTCTAGACAGGATGGCGTGCCTACGATCATTTCATCGGACAACCTATATTCTATCCTGGATTTTCGGAAAATATGACAGCTGCCGTTATGTCTACGCCTATATTACAAAAACGAATAACTGAATTGGCGGAGAAAAGGATAGAAATTGAGGAACTGGAAGGGTTATTGAATAAAGATGATCCATCATACCATACGAAAAGATCACAGAGGAAGTCAGCCATTGAACATAGTTTGCAGGAGCTTTCGGAAAAGTTGACAAGTGATATGATATGCAAGATGGAGAGTAGGCCATTCATTAGAGGAGCTTATTACCTGTGCACGCAACTCTTAACTAGAGCATATCACCAAGGTAAGCATTGCGGTAATGATCTGACGTAAATCCCTACTAATAACTATGTAGGTATACATGTGTCTAGTGAGGAAGTTCTCAGATTACGAAATGTTGCTGAAAAAGCACAAAAGGATAAAACATCCATCATCTTCCTTCCATGTCATAGATCTCATGTAGACTATGTTTCTTTACAATTAATATGCTATCGCCTTGGTATAGCTTTACCAACAGTCGTGGCTGGTGATAATTTGAATTTCCCTGTAGTAGGGAGCTTTTTACAACATGCAGGTTAGTCAAAATCCTACAATAGTCTTAACATATATTGATTTTATAGGCGCTATGTGGATAAGAAGAAGTTTTGGAGACGATGCATTGTATACAACTCTTGTACAATCGTATATAGATACCCTCCTCCAAGGCGGTTATAATTTCGAGTGCTTCATCGAAGGTGGAAGATCAAGAACTGGCAAATTATTACCACCCAAGTTTGGTATTTTGAGCTTTATCTTGGATAGTATCCTTTCTGGTCGAGTCAAAGATACTATTATCTGCCCCGTCAGCACTCAGTATGATAAGGTCATCGAAACCGAAGGTTATGTGGGGGAATTGCTTGGAATTCCAAAGAAAAAGGAGAATTTGGCAGATTTTCTCTCAGCATCATCAGTTCTATCTTTAAAGTTAGGTCGCGTGGATGTTCGATTTCATGAACCTTGGAGCCTACGAGATTTTATCTTACAACAACAAGCTCGATCGTCAGGGGTGCCAAAAACGCTTGACTTTGAGAGCATCAATGTCCCTAGTGTTCGACAAAAGTTACTGAGAACGTTGGGTTACAAAGTTCTATCCGATATCAACGCAGTCTCAGTTGTCATGCCTACTGCCTTGGTTGGAACAGTTCTATTGACTTTGAGAGGCCGTGGTGTTGGTAAATCAGAACTTATACGCCGAGTCGAATGGATTAGTGAACGAGTTAGAAATAAGGGAGGGCGCGTGGCTCATTTCGCTGGTGCCACTACATCTGCAGTAGTTGAGCGAGCTCTTGAGGTTCTTGGTAAAGATCTTGTAGGAAGGGTTGATGGCTTGGCAGAAGAAACATACTATGCTGTTGACCGATTCCAATTATCTTTCTATCGAAACATGACAATACATCTATTCATATCTGAAGCACTAGTTAGTGCCAGTATGTATATGAATGTAAAACGTGGAGGAGGAAAAGTTCACCAAAACATATCATACGAAGAACTTCGAAACCAGGTTCAATTCCTCTCACAACTCTTTCGAGGTGAATTTATCTATCCGACGGAAGGATTGGCCGTTAATCTAGACAACACTCTACACGATCTGGAAGTCGATAATATCATTGAACTTGACCGGGATCCAGAAGGGAAGATTCTGACTATTGGTATATCTGACCACGAACGTTCGGTTGGACGTGAAAATTACGATTTTTACTGCTTCTTGATTTGGCCATTCGTCGAAGCATTTTGGCTTGGTGCTGTTTCTCTCATGGGCTTTACACCACCTCCAAACAAGCCAGATGATGTTTGGCTGGAAGTCAAGAAAGCTCATGATGGATCCCAACTAGTGAGTTCCTCCTTATCAATGCAACCCATGATTGCCTTGCTAACAAAATCAAGCTTGGAAAAACTCTTTATCACCAAGGTGATTTATCCTACTTCGAAGCCGTCAATAAGGAAACACTTAAGAATGCATACCAACGATTCGAAGATGAAGGTATTGTAATAGTATCTAAGAGTAAGATCACAAAGGTCCAGCCACGAGCTCGACTTGCTCCCGAATGGACACCAAACCGAAGCCCAGAGACCGGCATGATTACGCCAGAAGGGAAGTTGTGGGATTTTATTGAAAAGATTGCAAAGTCAAGGAGGGAAGGAAAGAATAGGCGAGACGGAGCAACTGTATCAACAAGAGTTTTAAGACTTGCAGATGAATTGGGTCAGAAATTATTTGCTGAAGGATCCGGGAAGATAGGGATGTCTGAGGAGGATAAGAAAGAATTACTAAGAAGGGAGAAGAGAAGACAAGCTTTGAAAGCTAGAGCACATTTGTGATATATGTTTGGGTGTATTGTACTTGATACCAGGGATTTAATTGAGAAATTTATAGGATACCATTGATCTTCTTGATGCTCTATGTTATGATACGTTCAGACATCAATGGGAATTTATTGCGCCTACGGCTGGGTCGTTTTCTCGTATTGCCACCGCCTCTAAACCAAACTTAATTCCTACTAATTAAATTCCACCGTCTATAAATACCTCTTTTCTATATAAACTTGAAAAACAACACAACGACCATCACTAAGAGTAGGAACTAAATCACAGTGTCCGGCTTGCTTTATAAATAACCCATCAGTCAGTAGAGGAACATTCATAGTTTCATAGTCTCCCCCGAATCAGCTAGCTCTAGCCTCTGGTCAGCCGAACTTGTCTTTTATTATAAATTTTAAGTTTGTTTTTGATAATTGTTAAGCATGGGCTTTTTTCTAAGGAGAAGATATGTTTTTCGAGAGGAGAGCGAAGATGGGATGGGATGGGAGAGAATGAGCTCGAGGTGTAAGCGAGAGTCATTTTAGGGGAAAGGGAAGATTTTGATGGGGTCAATTGTTGGGGGGATTGATTGATGCATATTGGTGAAATTTTTTTGGGGGGGGTTTTTTGGAGTGAAATCATAGGACGGGATAATTTGCTGGCTTGGTAGGTTTTGCGAGGTGAAGTAGGGAGTGATCCCATATAAAGCACTACATCTGCAGCGTGAATTTCGGTTCTATATTGCTCGTTGGGACATTCTTCTCTGCTAATAACGATACAGGATGATTTTGCTGTATCTCAAAGTTATCTTCATATAGGAGAACTCACGATCGTATGACTTTTCGGCAAGTGCTTGGTCGGTTAGCATGCGAATTTCCTCTTATCGTACAGTTTTGTCTTCTTGTAGTCGGAAATTTTACTTTCCTCATCTTTTGCAGTCAATGGCTTTGCTTATCATTTCTTGTTGTAAGATGACTCTACTATGGTAAGCAAGTCAGTATTATGCAGCCTAGTAGTTTTTGATTGAGAATAGTACATTAAAGATAGAATAATCATGGTTTCTGCCGGTTGTCTTGGCAATCCGTTGAAGATCAGGAGTTGGAGAGTATATATACACTTCGTTTTATGCTTATATTATGCTTCTATTCATGCCAACCTACATGTTTCGATTTTTGTTAGTGCGATGTTCACAGTGGTGAAATTCACTTCTCTTATTTGCTTCATACACAAACACACTTTCCATTTCTCCGTATAGGCAAAATAGTACATTTTTCACTTGCATATGCATTCTAAATAGCCTCACATAATATCCAAATTGGGTGTTATAAAAGAGCTTCCAGCTTGTCTCCCGTTTTAATAATTTCAAACGAATCAAAAATAAGCAAACAATGATATGGAAGAATAGGAAGGTCAGCCTTGGAGTTATCAATCCGCTAAGGATTCAGGTAAGATTACATTGAGATATTCAATTATAAATGGAGGGATACAGAACGTGTGGAAAGCAGGCGTTTAGTTCATTGGATGACAGTAGTGGACTTGGTTACGACAATGGACAAGAGTATTTATTGTCGTTACTCTTGAAATGATAGTCACGTTATTAAGCTGGTGTCCCTTCAAATGATCCTGGTAAGATGACATGCTCAGTTGCCTTTACTCAATTTTAATGGCCAACTTGCCAAAATGTTTCTGATCCCACATATATTGATAAGCCTCCTTGAGCTCCTCCAACTTAAATACCTTCTCATCAACCACCGGCTTGATCTTGTTTGCATCAATGGCTCTGTTCATATCCTCGAACAATTCCCGGCTTCCAACCACTATACCTCTAACAATGCAGTTTTTGGTCAAACATTCCAAGAATGAGGGCTCCTTTTCTTCCGCGGCTCCTGACAAAAATCCAATTACACTGATGACACCCTCAAATCTTACGGCATTTAAGGACTGTGCCATGGACCTAGCACCAGCGACTTCAATAACGTGCGATACACCGATGGATTTTTCAGTGAGAGATTTGGCATGCGTACCCCATTCAGGAGTGCTTCTATAGTTGATTACGTGGTCCGCACCGAGTTTTTTGAGCGTCTCCGCTTTTGCATCGGACGAGGTCGTAGCGATTACAGTTGCCCCTGCTGCTTTAGCAAATTGCAAAGCGAATATGCTAACACCACCAGTTCCTTGTGTGAGGACCACATCACCAGGTTTTAGTGGCTTTAGTCCGTACAGAGCATTCCAAGCTGTGACAGCTGCACATGAAAGAGTACCGGCTTCAAGGTAGGAAAGTGAAGAAGGCATTTCTACGAGCGCTTCTTCGTTAAAGACACCATATTGACGAAGGGTACCATCAGAGCCACCACCCAAAGCAGATCCTAGGGCTAATGGGGTGAGGGCGCCACCGTAGTGACGTGGGCTGAAAAGAGTAACGACTTTCGAGCCCGGGCTAAATCGAGCTACTTTTGATCCAACAGCAAGGACTTCGCCGGCACCGTCAGAGCCGGGAACCACACCAAATCTGGTAGCAGCTGGATATTGGCCCTGGAAGAAGGACCGATCAGCATCTGCCTATGAAAAAAGCTGCCAGGGATAATGTTAGAAGGCGCGCAGAACTTACCTTGACCATTACCAAGTCTCTATAGTTCAACGAAGCACCATGAAATTTGACAAGAACATCGTTGTCACCCAATGCTGGGAGTTCAGCTTGACCATCATATTCCAAGCAGTGAAATCCGTCTGTTCCTTTGGCTCTCCAGAGTTTGGTAGTTGTAGGAATTGTTTGGGACATGTTGATTAGATTTCTACAAATTCAGCGGGATTGAAGTTCAATAGCGTAGAAATGGTGTAGAAGATGGAGTTGAAGTGATAGAAATATGGACAGTTGTAAGGTGGGAGAATACACACACACACATATATATATATATATGTATGTATGTATGTATATATCTTTATATATAACGGACGTCAGGAGGTTTTCGGCGGAGTTGAATTGGATGCCCCACCATAGTGACGTTTCATGAAGTAATCACTAATCACTTTCATACTTAAAGTCCCATTTTTACTAACAATTTTTGTGAAAAGTCTCGTGTTTTGTGTACTAATCACGGAATCCCCGGTGCTCTTACAAGTACCGGCATGGCGACATATGTCTAGATATTAGTGCTTGTAAACATGAAAAGCGGAAGGCTCGGCGAGTGAGGTCATTTCCATCACGTGATTCAAATCGGCTGACAGATGGTGATGACAAACGAACAGAGGACAAATGATGTAATCATTTTCAACACTATAGATTTGGAGATACTTCTAACCAATCATAAAGGTAAGAGACTCGGTAGATCTAACGAAGCAAGTTTGTATTAGACTCCCGTAGAGAGCTGTTGTCACGCAGACGGTTCTTATCACGTGAAATCGCTCTTATCACGTTCATCCACTGGGATGTGAACCTGGTTGACTTCGGCATGGATTATCCGTCTGTTATCATATCGGCTACAAAATTCCTGGCAATCAGTTCATTAGGTATCATTCCAATAAATAACATATTCACATGCTTTCTTATGGATCTCAACACCTTCCAGATACTACCCTTCCCACCCCCCAGTGACCAACTCATCAAGTACCTTCCTAAGTGAGTAGTAAGAACATGAATCTCATCCAGTCTGAAATTCGATAGCTTGAAGCTTGGCTATAGAGGCTTGAGTTAAGAGAAAGGGAATGAAATTGGAATTAAAGGGATGAGTTTTTGGGTATCAATTTCTAGCCACATTTCGAGCTCTCCAATCATCTTACCTCGTAACATCACGGTATAGTATGGCGGATGACGTTTCACTAAGTGCCAAAGTTCGTACTGTCAAGATCAATCTAACATCGAGAGATGGTTCCATGAAGGACGTTGAAAGGATGACTTGCAAGAATTACTAAACCTTACGTGGTCAAGAATTGTGATGGCATCATATTGACCTAGTCTGAACTAGTCCCACCGTACAATACTGCAACATTGATCTCATGTCGGCTTTAAATGCAGTATCACATCGCCTCGAGTTATTCAGAGTGACACAACATCAGAGTTGTCACTCGAGTTGGTATGCCAACCCATGAATATCAGCGTCTGACCTTAAAAGATATTCCAACTTCCATTGTACACTTTTAACAATCTTCCTATGAGAGCATGTTTGCATCGAAAAAGGCGTCTCTGAAGGTCTTTTTTAGCACCTGGGTCAACACGTGTGGTGGAAGGAAAATGCATCTTACTATGTGATCCCTCCACAATTTCATTCTAGTTCCAAGTTGGAATGTACTAAGCCATACAACTGTGTCGAATCCCCCCGATATCGATTGTTCGCCATTGAAGGACCGATATGAATTTCTACATTGGTAACAATTTTCCGATCCTCCAAATCCATGTTCTGTGCGATGGAAGATTTTGCGATTACCAGATTTTAAGGAAGCATGAAAAGAAGGATCTTCAAGTCAGCTGGTGCTTTGGAGTGAAGCAAGTCATTCAATGAAAAAACCCAAAGATCATGAAGCTGTGGGATTCTTGGTAAGAGGCTCGTTGATCTGGGGTAACAAGGTAGAAACAGTGCGGGAACATCGGCCCATCCACCGCAGCGCTTCCTTCGCCTACAGTTCAAGGTTCCACTAGAACGTGGAGAAATCGGAGATTTTCCCGTCGTTCTCATGTTTATTAGAGTGTTCATCGCCTTGTTCCTAGAAAACCAATTTAACAGTACACGGGTCTAGACATTCTTTCGTTCTTGATTCGATAACTTCACGATGCACTTAGGAATTGGAAGGCTTCGAAAAAAGGGGATTCCCGGAATAGCTATCTATGTATGAAAATGGCACGTATGTATGTCCACACATCCATAACAAGCATTATCGCTTCAATATTAAGATTTCCACCTTCACTGCGGCGGATTTCGGCTCCTTGACGAGACACGGGCCATATTGCGCTTCTCGGGTGGCTGGCTTAAAGCTTCGTCGTCTAACCAATGCCTTTGACACCCTAGAAACGGAGCTCGAGACGAAATGCCTACGCCATCGATATCACCTCTAACCCTAGCACAGTAGAATGTCCATATCTAGCTACCAAGAATCACAACCCCTGCTAGGATGAGAGAAATAAATGCGCATAATGATACAGATCGAATATCACCCAAGGTCAACTAGCTAGGAGAGCGAGGAATTACCGAGCCCGAAGTCAGAAACTCCTGAATTTCACGGGGATGGGGAATTTCACGGGGAAAATCTAACATGGATCTCCTCGGGACTCCGCATTTTGGACAATTAACAGCTGCACCTGCATATGGCAGTTCCATTTTTTCTCACCCTTTTCAAAGACCTCGCAGCTGATTTTACGTGGAGTCTTTTTTACGATCTGGAGAAAGACAAAAACCTTACAAAATTCTGTTGGATCTGCATATTGCATGCTGCACCCCCTTTGAAAGCCTGACGTGACCCGACTGTTACCGACCTTGGAGATGAGATAGAGTGGATTTGTGAATTGTTGTTTATTGATCACGGCTTAAAATGTGACTTTGCTTACGAGCTTTCATCCACTCAATAAAATCAAGATGGAGCTGCCAAGAAGTTGGGGTCGGGCACAAAGTCAAATTGGGATTAGAGCAACATAGCAACATATATGAAGGTGGAAGCGAAAGCGAAAGCATGTGCAGACGAGCAATCTCGAATGAGGTTGAGGAACATCGGACCGTTTGGAGCTTGGAGGTCAAGTAACCGGGGATCAAGAATTAATCATCCAAGCAGAAACAATGCTGATCGTACCACATTTTGGATCCTTTTTTTTTGCGGTACGTGTGTCTAATGAATGTATGTATAATGTATGGCAATATGGGAATTGACATGCATTCAACACTACGTACGAAGTAGCTACATAGCACCTAACCTCGCCTAAGCTAACGTGTATGTAAGATTACATTACTACTCCATACATACTGTGTGTCTATCTACACTGATACCTGAACGTGGTTTGCATGTGTCCGTAACATCGGCCTTCCCAGAGCATGTGTATGTATGTGTTCGGTAAGACATTGCGAATCGAATGGAATGCTGTGGTGTTGTGGTGCTCTGCTGTGCTGTGCTGTGCTGTGCTGTGCTAAAACCTGGAAACCGCTGACCCCATCAAGTCAGAATGGCTAGAGATTAGAGTTGACGATTGAAGTGGAGAATCATTTGTGGTGCCCGGAGAAAGTTACCTCGGGCTGAAAATAGCAACTAGAGAGGGGATTTTGGATGTACCTCACGTTAAATATCATGCGCACCATTACGATGGAACATCTTTTACATTATTACGGAGTACGGAGTACATTCAATACCTAGGTACTCTGAATACCTTATTAGCATTTGCTTCTAGAAGAATGGAGACCCAAAAAATGTCCAATTTTCATTGGCGCATTAATTGCCAAATGGGGAACTGTGACACTCACTCACTCACTCACTCACTCACTCACCCACCCACCCACCAACTCACTCATATCAATGTAAGAAAGAAAGCCTCCGTTAGAATACTCGCGCGATAGGAAATAACACAATTTCTCAGTCATCATTTCGTTATAGATTTATGGATCTCATTACCGCATCATCGTCACTAACTTGCGCCACCTTTCTTTCGCACTCGTCTCAACTTGATGTATTTTTTTGAAAAGGGTGTGGGAGAGGTAGATCAAAAAGGAATGGCGAAATAAGGTCTGGGGGAAGTGTTGCTACATGTTACACGGATCATTCTTTCGTCCCAACAACAAGTAGATCTCGACCTAAAATTTCTTTAAATTCTCCCTGGTCGGTCAATGGTCAAGTCATATCAACCTCGGAAGAGGGTGTCGATTTGCGGTGACTTGGGGCATCCCCTAGATGGTCATTCATCTCGAGAATTTTCGAGGGTTATCACGCATTTCAAGGGGTATCGATTGTCTTGACGACTTCCTGAATCATTGATTCGTCCATGTGCCACACAACTACTAGAAAAGCACAAGAGTTTTTATCCCTGATCCTGTATACTTGGGGGATTTTATTGCGCAAGCTCATGGACTAGAACACTACTAACAAGATTAAGAGCTGCCATTTGAAGGATAGAGCCGTTTTCCTACAGACTTAGCTATTAGCTTGGCTTTCATCCATCCAATCCTTCTCAATCCACTGAATAGACTTTGCGGACGGCGTAAAACGATTAAGATTTCACGAGTGTCACTCCACTACTCCATTACTCCACTAGCTGACCAAACCAACAGTTACCCGAGCTACTATGGTTACTTGGACCCCTTGTCGACCTCACTCATGGTAGAAGGAACAACGGGATTGTGGAATTGTGAATAGAAACAAAAAAAACAAAATAAAAAAACGACAAACGATAAACGACAAAAACACAATATGCTATCATACATACCTACATGTACCTCGTCACTAGTTGCCCTCCTATTTATGTCAGTTATCATTCCTTGACTGAGAGATGATATTTTCAACAAATTTCATACCTTGTTCATACCAACCATGAAGCATCGCATCCTTGAGAAATCAATCTTCGATTTTCAACCTTTCGGAAAAAGTATGACCGAATGGAAGATGTTCGGAGGCGATGCTGCCGTGGGGTAGACCCTCCGAGACCAAAAGACAAGCATCTGCATACCCCGGATCTATTCGCTGATTCTTTTCTACCCTTGTTCTCTCCACAAGTTAAGATCGAAATAAACCTTAGGAAAAGAAGATGTCTCTTATCCTTTACCGGTACTTCATGCGAACCCCGCCATGTAGTTAGTTCACTAGTTCATAGGTTCATAACAGAGATATTGCCCTGTCATCTTGTGGCGTTCGAATTATTATTCTATTTTTTTTTTAATTATTTCCTCTTTCGAGAAGGTCCTGCTGATATACTGAGAGCCAAAGTCATATCAATTCCATGCCGTATTCAGGAGATATAGATGCTCGAATCGCTCTTTGAATCATCTAAGAATCTCATTTACTCCCATCTTCTCGAAAGGCCCGTCACCTATCAACCATTAGCTCTGTCAACCATCATTAGAACTTCCATCGCAGTTAGATCAGAGACTTTTTGAATCAACCTTGTTCCAGCAACTTTCTTCCCACCTCAATTTCAAAATGCTTTCAAACCCCCTTCATCGTTTTTCAACATATAACACTATGCCCTCAAACAACATGATGTCGACTGGGCATTTACCATCCAATCACATGCATACTTCAGGCTTAGATGCTCTTGCTCACGGTTCACAATATGCTATCTCCCAGCTTCACCAGCAGCAAGTGGACCTTCGTCAAAACTCACAAGCTCATAGGAACACTGCTTCAAAGCATCGACAGCATCCTTATGCCATAGGGATATCTGGAAACAACGCCACATCTGCCAGGGGTACCGGAAATTCTGGACCAATTCGAAGGAGAATCAGCAGAGCCTGCGATCAGTGCAACCAACTCAGGACTAAATGCGACGGCCAAAGCCCATGCGCTCATTGCGTCGGTAAGTATTTTCATTAAGACTCAACGGATAAGGCTTATGAGAATATAGAATTTGGACTAGGATGCGAGTATATCCGTGAACGAAAGAAGCGAGGAAAGGCTTCAAGAAAAGATCTTGCACAGCAAGCTGCCGCTGCCGCTGCCGCCAATGGACAAAAATCACCCAATGATCAATCATCCGAGGAAAGATCACCAGTGGAATCTCGCAATGATCCATCTTCCGCCACTTCCCTAACGAATGACACCGTTGAATTCCCACGACATACACCATCTAGGTCTTTGAGTCTCAACACAGCCGCAGTTGAAAAACCTTCAGCTCGTGAATTGATGAAAGGAAGAATTCGTGCCGCTAGCCTCGAAAGCCTCACCGAAATCCCATCCCAAGGACATCAGCCTCACGTTAGCCGCGCAGAAGTCAATCAAATCGCGAGCCCCGGGTCCTTGCACTTACATGGCTACTCAAGCATGCACGGTTACCGCTCTACATTAAATCCCCACATGATGAACGGCAGTGGCAGTCATGCGAACTTCAACAGCTCGCAGACCGGTTATTCAGATCTACCCTATTCTATGCAGGGTCAGAGCCCGCCTAATTTTTCGGGTAATACCCAAGGTCAGTTTCGTTTAGCCGAAAGCCCTTTGACTGGTTTTCCTATGGGCTCTGATGCCCCTTCACCCGGTGGGTGGATGTCATTACCCTCTCCTTCAAACCAGTACCAACACGTGACACATCAGAACTTCAATGCACCCCTACGATATCCCGTGCTACAGCCCTTGGTACCTCACCTTGGCAGTATCATAGCAATACCTTTAGCCTGTGATTTACTCGAATTATATTTCGCAAGCTCGTCATCAGCTTTGATGCACCCTACCTCTCCTTACATTCTCGGATACGTCTTTCGCAAACACTCGATCCTTCACCCTACGAAACCTAGGCAATGTACCCCTGCCTTACTCGCTAGCATATTATGGGTTGTGGCACAAACTAGTGACGCAGCTTTTCTAACAGCAAGTCCATCAGCTCGTGGACGAATTTGTCAAAAATTACTCGAACTTACTGTCGGTCTTCTTAAACCTCTTATTCACGGAACGACTGGAAGCAATGAATCTGCTTCCAATTTCTCTAATACTATCATTAATGGTGTGGCGTTGGGTGGTCTTGGCGTAGCAATGCCCGGTTCGGTATCTACAGATGCACTAAATGAGACAGGTGCTTTTGGAGCAGCTGGAACTCTTGACGATGTTATTACTTATATTCATCTCGCTACTGTTGTGTCAGCTAGCGAGTACAAAGGAGCGAGTCTTCGATGGTGGAATGCAGCTTGGTCATTAGCTCGTGAACTTAAATTGGGAAGGGAGTTACCACAAAACCCAACCACGATGGCTTCCGAACAACCAAATGAAGGAGCCAATGATGTCGATGCTGATGGAGAAGACGACGATGAATTACCTCGAACACCGGGGCAGGTAACTGAAGAAGAGAGAGAAGAGAGGAGAAGAATATGGTGGCTTTGTTACATAGTGGATAGGCACCTAGCATTGTGTTATAACAGACCACTCTTTCTGTTAGACATAGAATGCGATGGCCTTTTCCAGCCAATGGATGACACGTTATGGCAGGCTGGAGAATTCTATACTGGTGATTCAAGCATTCATGTTACTTCCCCATCGGGTACTCAACGGATAAGAAGGCGCGGACCTAACTTTGAGTGCACCGGACATAGCATATTCGGATACTTCCTACCCCTCATGACGATCCTCGGTGAGATTGTAGATCTCTACCACGCCAAAAATCATCCTCGATTCGGCATCAGCTTTCGTTCTGCTCGCGAGTGGGATGATCACGCTAATGAAATCGCAAGACAACTGGATGCTTATGGTCAAAGTCTACGGGACTTTGAATCCGAACAAATCCCTCCGTTGCCCGATGACCAAAATGATCAAAACATGGAATGTAATAATATTCAATCCTCTACAAGCAACAAATCTCTCGAACACAACGACATCAGTACTCCTTCAGTTCACTCAGTTCATTCCGCTCATTCAGCTCATTCAGCTCATTCAACTCACACCGCATCCTCAAATCATGTCTCAGAAGCTAATATTCAAACGCGCATCGTGGTGGCTTATGGTACGCATGTTATGCATGTCCTTCACATCTTATTAACGGGAAAATGGGATCCGATTTCTCTACTTGATGATAACGATCTATGGATCTCGTCGCAAAGCTTTATCAATGCGACGGGACATGCTGTCAGCGCAGCAGAAGCTATAAATAACATATTGGAATACGATCCCGGCTTGGAATTTATGCCTTTTTTCTTTGGCGTCTATTTGTTGCAAGGCAGTTTTTTGTTATTGCTTATCGCGGATAAACTTCAGGTATGTTGGGTCACTAATCTTCTTTTCTTTGTTTCATTCTTTCATGTGCGTTTATTTTAACTTAACATTGATATACATCATAAATACTAAGACGAACAAAATAGGTGGAAGCATCACCCAGCGTAGTCAAAGCCTGCGAAACCATCGTTCGAGCCCACGAAGCCTGTGTCGCGACGCTGAATACAGAATACCAGGTTAGTTTGCATCCCATCCCGCTCCCACATATCCATATCCATATCTTCCACCCAATCCAACCCAACCCAATCCCAGCCCTTCCCTTCCTTCCCCTCTTTTCTCTCCTTCCATTGCGTTACATAACACTATATACTAACATCCCTCTCCCCGCAGCGCAATTTCCGCAAAGTAATGCGCTCAGCACTCGCACAGGTACGCGGTCGCATCCCAGAAGATTTCAACGAGCAACAGTTGAAGCGGAGAGAAGTACTTTCTCTCTATCGCTGGACGGGCGATGGAACGGGTTTAGCTTTATGAAAAGAAAGTGTGAAGAAAAAAAATAGATGAAAAAGATGAAAAGAGATGGAGAAGAAGAAGAAAAAAAAGGTTTCTTCGGCTATGATTTTTTTTTATTCTTCTTTTTTTAGGGAGGGGCGGATTTACTTTGGTTTGTTTTGTTTCTTGTATGTTTTGTTATGCTATTTATGTTATGTTATGTTCTTGATGAATGGGAATGCATGCATGGATGGATGGATGGGCGGTATGAAATGGAATGAAATGCGACGCAATGGATGCAATGGATAAGGTTGGCCTTGATAGGGTATCGGAAACGGAAGGATTTTGGTTCTTGCAATTGTTGTTGTTGAAACCGGGACGGGATAGGTATAGGTATGGAAAGGAAGGGAAAGGATATCCCAAGGCATTGGAAAGGCAACCAAAGGCAATGAAATGAAAAGAGAAGAAAAGAGAAGAGAAGAACAGCATCTGGATCTGGAAATAAGAAAAGGTTTGATTTGAAGTATTGTGATATAAAGAGGAGTTATATATTGAATACAAAATTCATCCGTATCAGTCAGTATCAGCATGAACATCAAATTCTATTCCATCTCAAAAATCTATCCCCAAATTATCATCTCATGCTACAATATATAAACCCTTCGTTCGTCTCATTATTGAATACATTCATTCATCCATCAATCAATCACCATACGCCAAGCAATGCCCGCTCATTCGCTCATTCGCTCATCAATTATAGCCAATCCACAAACAAGCAAACAAACAAACATCAGGAAAGGAAGAAAGAAAATCTCTATCCCAGCACATAAGTGGAAAACTTATCTGCCAGCTCTTCTGCAACACCACATGCATTTTCCCCTCTTCCCCAAAATATATGCATTCATCCACCTCATTCATCACTCGTCAAATTAGTATGTCCAGCATCTGGATTAAGTTCCATTTCCGTCAACCTCAATGCTTCTCCCACATCCTTCACGAAATGCGCTCTTCCCCCACAAGTTTCCAAAATTCCACTCCGATCCAATAATTCCCAAATGGGGGTTCCTTCCTGAGGAGCACGGGAAAAGAATACTCTAACACCTCTATTTCTATAGCCTCTTACGATTTCTTCTAAAACCTGTGTACCTGAACCATCGAGTCCGGTGACACCGTGAATATCAAAAATAACATTCCTGTTGTGCTCTGGAGAACGAACGCGCGGTAGTGCAGGGTGAGCATTATTCGTGCCATATAATTCTAATCTCCTTAATCGGTTCTTAAGATCGCCAGTGTTGGCAAATGTGAGAGGTTCGGGAATTTTAACAATAAGACAGCCTTCGATGAATTCTAATTTCTCAGGGTTATCCTCCGCGTTCTCGAAGCGATTGGTACCGGGAATCCGACCTAGAATTTGGATACGAGGGCGAGTAGAGTGTTTGATGACCGAGAGAAGGGAGAGGCCAACTCCGACGGCCATACCTAGGGTTAGAGAGTAAAATATGGTGGAGGCAAAGATAATGAACATGAGGCCTAGTTCAGTATATCCACGAATTCGGATAAAAAATGCTATATCGTGGGGAGCCTCCTCAATTAGAGAATAGGCTACTACCGTAATCATTGAGGAGAGAACCGCTTTCTAGTAGGTTATTAGCATAATAAAGTCTGTAGGAACCTCAAGGACATACCGGAAGAAAATAGAAGGCGGGTAAGAGGAACAAAATGCAGATAACGGTTAATAAGCTCAAGAAAATGCTACTCATAGGAGTTTTTCCACCAGTGCTAGCATTGACTTTACTTCTTCCATACCCGCCAAACGCTGGTACTGCTTGAAAGCAACCACCAACCAAATTTGCAACCCCAAGTGCAACCAATTCTCGATTCGGACTTAGTTGTATTCCTTGAATCATATCTTTCCCTTCTGCACCACCAAGACTCTTCGCCGCCACAGACGACTCGAAAAAGCCCAGGAGTGCAATCAGGAATGACGTCCCCATAGCTTCCCGAACATGTTTCATGTGAGATAGTTGAAATGGCCATCTGAAAGTAAACGGAGCACCCCCGGTCGATTTCACCTCGCCGAGGATCTCTAAGCCAAGACTTTCCCAATCAAATTTCCAAGCTAGAATAGCTGAAATAACCACAACTAGGAATCTATCGGGTATATAGGCAACATTTGGGAATCGAGGTTGTAGGCGCTTTTTTAACTCTCTGAAACCGGGTCAGTTGTCAGCTAAAAGTTAGACAATTTTTCGGCATACCTGAAGATCATGATTATGATGAAACTGACTCCGGCGACAATACAGGTAAGCTTATGCGCTTGACCGGCATTTCGAAACAAGAACCTTAACTTGTCGACACTACTACCATGAGCGACACCTCCCATTTCATCCGCCAACCCTGCCAGTCCCATCTCTGGTATTAATTGATCAACCATAATGACAAAACCAACTGCAGAAATAAATCCTCGTAAGAATGGTCTACTTAAAACACTATCCAGAAATCCCAGACGAGTTAAACCAGCAATTAAAATGACTGCTCCTGCCATACCGGTGACAATTCCAGCCACTCTCGCGTGCATTAAATCATCTTCTTCTGCCCCGTGTCCTCCATCAACACTAGATTTTACGACTGTGCCAACTAATAAACTTCCTGCGGCCTCTGGTCCTACAACCATTTGCGGACAGCTTCCAAGTATGGCGTATATCAGTGGATTAAAAACAAAGGAGTAAAGACCATTGATCGGAGGAACATGTGCGAGATTCGCCGCATAGGAAAGGGCCATAGGTAGGTAGAAGGAAGCCATTGTAATAGCAGCTATTAAGTCGCCTCGAAGATGTACCCATCTGTATTGTCGGATCCATGTGAAAAACGGTATGTAATAATTTATGTACCTGTTGCGCAGTAAGTGTTAGCAAAACTCCACAAGTCAGCCTAGAGATATAGAAACATGTAGGTAAAACATACATCCCGGTAGTGTTGGTAATTCCATGTTGTTCCGCGAGCCAAGTTGTCGTGCTCATCCTCTTTGGCTTTGCTATCGAATCATTCCTCACTCCTAAGCCTTTAAGTAAACCCCCAATAATCCCATCACTAGCCTCTCCATTGCCATCTGGAGAGATTGGCGCAGAACCTCCAAAGCTCCTCACACTGTCTGCACGACTTTCCAGCCTCGGGCTGAAGGTTCCATGATTGCAAGGTCCAGGATGCGCGGCATTACCAATCATTTCAAGAGGCTTCCTCAGTAACGCAGTCGTCTCATCTGTAATATTTCCCCCAAATCCAGTTTGTCGATGTGCGTGACCGTCCAGTCCATCATTTATACTGTCAGAGGTATCGGGGCGAGTATGCGATAAAGATTGCTCGTTGTCGTTCCTCGAGTTCTCATCGCGCCCGTCTGCGCCGTCCCCTTCAAAATGTCTTGCGGCCTCGGGACTTGTAGCAATGGTATAGGATTCCCTCAGTCCGCTGGGATGTGTCGGTGTGAATTGCGAAATGGATTGGCTTCTTAAACTTGGAGTTCTAGAATTCGGACGTAAAGGTGGAGAAACCGGTGGTCGTGAGACAGTCATGATTAGATTTAGGGCGTGTATAAACTACCCTTGAAAAAACTTTTGTTTACATCAATTTGTTAGAATGAAGTAATGTTTGTTTAATGTTTTAATATTATTTCTGGGCGGGAAGTTTGGGGAAAGAGGGAGGATTTGTCTGTTGGAGATATTTATGTGGGGATTTGGAAATGAATGAACCATTCAGAGGGGCAAGATTGATAATTGTGGATTTCATTCTTGTGATAATATGGAAATGCCGATTTAATACCGTTGAGATTTTCATTTGTAATTCTTTCGTCTTCAAATACACAAGCAAGGACACAATTAGGTAATTTATACTATCCGTATATAAGCAGATGAGAAAGTTCAAGGATATAGGATATACGTACGTTGTGCCAGCGAGGCGAGAGAACCGCTAATGCCGAAGGATGAGCTCACTAGACCTTTTACTTTTATTGCATTTCTAAATGTCTATTCGAGTTGTGTCTACATCCTCATCTCAACTTTTCATATATGAGGCATTTCCTCAAAAGTTATATATATATATATATCTGTATCTATATATCGCTCTTCCGTCGTCTTACTTGGTACTTGAATCCTCGTCACAGCACATTCCTGTGTTCCCTCATTTGCGCTACCTCTAATCAGAGCAGCTGCCTCTGCTGTGTCACGGTCGGTCAGCATTAGACTGAATGGGCTTATCACGTGGAATATCAAAGTGCATTTGTAGCTTTCGAAATCACAAAGTATGTGGAAGTATGGCCACTATTTGCCCGATAGTTCGCAGGCTGAATTTGTGCGAAAACATCCCAAAAAACCAAGAGAAATTCAGTGGACTCAAGTTTGAATGGGTGACAGCCCATGTAGATTTCATCAATGACTCATAAGAGGTAATGTAGATATGTCTACATAATATGCTTTAATATGCTTTTCCTGTAGCACCAAACAGCCTTTTCCTTCAAACCTTCCAACACTGTACCACGCATGGCAAATCGGCGATATCCCATTTTTAATATTCATGGTTTACACACTTTTGGGGTCTTCCCTAACTCTGAAACTTGCAATTCTTTTCTCTTTCTCTAAGGGACGAAAGTCGACAGTTGCAATGTGGACCATAACCTCATACTAGCCATTCATTTCTTGCCTTTCCCAAGCTTTAGGTGCCAACCACTCCAAATAGCAGGCATTCATTTACTCTACAAAGGTTCGATATCATTCAATTTCCATCGGGATTGGATCTAAGGCTATTCGTCTGGATCTGCCATTCCATCCCTAAAAAGCAGAGACTAAGAATATCGATCTGTCATGGAAAGATCTTGGGAAAGGAATAGCAAAGCTGGGTCAACATACAAAGTATCTGCATGAATAAAGTAAATGAAGTCTACCATTCAGCGGGATCTGTCCAACAGCTTTAGTAGATACAGTTTGACACAAAACTACATTTGGATACTTGACCGTTTTGTCACGACTGCCCTGTTACGAAAGACTGGCTGTCCACTAGTCAGAGTGTTTGAAACTTGCAAAAGACATGGACGGACTAGAGAGGTCTATACTAGAGGAAGAAGATGGTTATTTGAAGATTGTGTTTCTCGGTAATTATGTGACTTTCTGTAATTTGCACGACCTGTATCAAAACTTAGAACGGAGCAGCAAAAACTTCCAAATGATTGAAAATCTTAATGGTGTCTCGTTACCTATAGTGCCCCACAATTCGTCACCTAATACATCAACATACTATTACTTTCCCTTTCGTATCTTGTCTAGTTTAGGCGCAATTCATGGTGGCAATCAAGATCTGATCACATAACTATCATCTACTATTTTTAAGAAGAGAGGTTCTCGCTCTTTTCATGCTATCTACTTCGTCTTGATTACGAGATGTGCATGAATAGTTCATTCTACGTCTATCATCCTAGAGCTCAGGCTCCGGAATAGTAATGCATGGCCTATCCCAGACTCCACTCTCTGACCACATACAATCCGTTTCCATCCGTAAATGAAAGCAAACAAGTCCGTTGGCCATTTCTATTAGAACTGTCTCGGGGCAGTATGTCTGCAATACTCGAATCACTTGGATTATCATTCAAGTAAGAATGCAATATCTTCACATCTCTATCCTCCAATGCAATCTTACATTTTAGATAGCTTTGCAAAAATTCAAAAGTACTTCGATTGAAGAATATTGACTTGAGATGGCCCTTGAATAGAAGGATTAAAAGTATGTTCGATAATGTAAGATTCAGTTTCATATTGTAAAAGTGGTAGGTCGAGATACGTGCATCCCGATAGCATGCTGTGAGGAGGGAATTGGAAGAGAAAGCTGAATTAGATTACATTGTAATACATCATTTATAGAGAAAACAGGGTTCACAATAGTTTTGGGGTTGATGTTATATAGATTCAAATGTATATATATAGAAGATTGATTATTGTAAAAAGAAGAAGCAAAAGCTCTTTTTTTTATATCTAATTACAAAAGGTTATGTAATTAATTGATTAAAAACCTTTATGTATTTGGCCTATAATTCCAACTTTCTTACAATATCCGAGAAACAAAACATTCTTTAGCATTCAATTGATCTATTCTTTATACTCCTTATGGAGACATAGATGTGGAATATTCTACTCACATCTTACTCGGCACCCACAAAGGTTTCTTCTTTTGAGCAAACGCATCTAATCCAATTTTCATATTCTCACCCTCAAGCAATTGCTGATCATATCTCTGTGCAACAATTTGTGTAGCTCTTTCCACACTTCCGGTCTCCCACGCCTCTCTCAATCCTGCCCTTGACACAATAACAGCATCTGGGTTTAAAGCTACAATCTTTTCTGCCAGCTCTACACTCTCCTTTAATACTGTCTCCGGTGATTGCGCAACTTTATTGATTAGATTATATGAGAGTGCTTCTTTGGCACTCAGCCTTCGATTGGTCAATGCAATTTCGGTAGCGATCTGAAGTCCACAATTGCGTACTAGACGCGGGAGACCACCAGCTGCTGCATATAATCCAACAGCTGCCTCAGGAAGGCCAAATGTAGCCAACGGTGAGGCAACAACCAAATCACTAGCATCTATTAGCTTCACGCCTTTTCATAACAAAAATAAAGTAGCATTACCAATTCAAACATATTTCAAAACCCCCACCAAGCGCAAAGCCATTCACAGCCGCAATTATCGGCTTCTTCCCCGCACGTCTACTAATGCCACAAAATCCACTCGTGGGATGTTTAACTGTTGGCATGGGCGGAGGATCGACTTTGGATTTCGCTTGTTCGATTAGATCTTGGCCGGCACAAAATGCTTTTTCTCCTGCTCCGGTAATGATCGCAACGCGTAATTCGGGAGAATTATCGAACCAGGTGAGAATGGAATCAGCTTCCCAATGGGCAAAACTGGGAATGGAGTTCATGGCTTTGGGACGATTGATGGTAATGAGCAAGATTTGAGGCGTCGGGTAGCTGAGGAGGAAAGAGGTGCATTCGGGGGGTGCGGATGAGGATGGCATTTTACTTGTGGATGGAGTCGTTATGGCTGTGTACGCAGTATGGGATTGTGAGCTTCAGTGAAACTTTTTTGAGTCTGAGATGGAGAAGGTTAAAAAGGGGAGCGTTGGTATGGGGAACGGCTAAAGCTCACCCCGCAATGAAGATTACACCCGAGCCGAGGCTTAGTCTGTCTGGGGCATGCACGTGATTTGTTAGCAATTTGCAAGTTGCTAGAAGAAATGGAGAATTGATGCCCTTGATTTCACGACATATTCACAAACCATTACCTACTTTATATCTAACTATGATGCTGGATTTTAAATGTAAGACATTTTGCGTCGGCTCAACTGTGGTTTTCGTGAAGTCCATCGGGAGAAACTCGTCGGGACCTAACCAAACACTGCAAAGAGTTTGATGAGCCACCATGAACATAGAATGTTTCAAGAATCCTTTCTTTTTTTTTCTGTCTTCAATGGGTCGAAAATCTTACAATCGATATTATAGACAATTATAGCAGACGCCGATCTAGGAAGAGATGATTTGATGCAGACAGTGGTAAATTGTAATGAGGTAAGCCACCTCCTCTAGAACTATGTTGTAAGCGAGGTTAGCGTCGAGTATCTAGTGTACTGAGCTTCATGGGTTAACAATCAAGACTTTTTTCTATGGAAGGTCTCTAGGTCGCAACTATACGAAGTATCCATTAAAGCAATGTCAATTGTTTATCAAGTGATAGTATTCTGCGGTAGCATTGGGCCTTGTAGCGGATAGCCAGAGTATCTATCCTTGTCTAAACACAGCTATTTCTATCATTAATTTGACTCGTATATCATACCAAATTTTGTACACTCGTCTTATTATATTCTTCATTGTTTCTAGTCATCAAATAGCAACCTGGAAAGGTAGCCGGGACGCTTACCATCTCAAGCGAAAAATACGAAATCCGTTTAACCCCAAGTTCCTTTCGGTGGTCCAAAAGTCTCCCCAGCAGCGAGCTTCCTCTGCACAGCCGTCTCCAGATAATCCATCGTACTCCCCGGTGCTCTATTACCCCACCACTATCAACCATCGTTAGCCCTTGATTCCTATATTCCCAATGCAAAAAGATAAACTCACATTCGGAAACCCCGTCCCCGTCAAATTCAATGCCGCAATAATAACAATCGTACAAATCGCCAACCCAGCATCTAATCCCGCGCTCGTAATATAATTAAAACGCATCCACCACCCTCTCCAACGATTCTTAATATATTTCTGAAAAATAAATCCGTACAAACACCAACTCAAATAATTAAGTGGAGTAGCAGGTGGTAATTCAGACATACCACCGAAGAAGATTGGGGCGCTGAAATATCGGACCTTGGATTTGGGGAATGCGCGTGCGAGGAAATATACGAGGAAGGGAAGCAGTGCACCTGCTAACCAAAAATACTGAAGAGAGCCGTATATGGCGCCACTGCCAAAAATGCGTTGAGGTCCAATTAATCCGAAGATTACACTGGCGTTGAAGAAGACTCGAGGACCGGGACAGGTGAAGTTGTTTTTTTGACTACTGGTACATATGCCATCAATGTGACCTAATGCCCACTCTAATACGGCTAGCTGGACGAAACAACTCCAAACCGTGGCAACGAGTTGACCCCAAAAGACCGGCCTCTGAGGAATCTTAAGGTAATGAGCGAGTTTCAAATCGGATAGAAAAGCATGTGCTTGGTTCATAGTAATGTACCCGTAAGTTTTAAATAACATGAGAGCGACAGGACGGCCAGGAAGCATATATCCTATTATATATTCTGTGAACACGTTGAGACCGAGATGAACATTGGTGGTTGCGTAGATGATACCGATAGGGATAGTCCAGACGAGAGAAATTAGGAGGGCAATAATTAGTGCCCACCATGTTAGATGAGTTGGATATGCACATACGGCTGCAAGGGCCATAGCCATCATGATGAGAAAGAAGGTAATATACCACCAGCCGGGTACAGGTTTGTATTTCCGCATCATTTTTGTGTGGTTGTCGTCTAGACTTCCGCGAATTGCACGGGCGAGTATCCACTGGCAAATATTTCATTAGAGGCTGTCGCAAACAGGATATGCAATTTGTGAAGTGTGTATACTTACGATTTCTTGGCCATGAAACAAAATAGTATGAAATATCACAGCAGAAATAGCTGCAAAGGATAAACCATACGTAAGGCTGAACGTGGTTGAAAGAAACAAGGGTGAGTATTCCTATGATGAAATTAGTGTACATGTCCGCTTACCCTCAGTCACTAAGCGAGAGAATACATACCTTATACTTCTCAATATCAAGGGTGTATTCTGGCGTTAGAATCTTGGTAACATTATAATGTTTTGCAGTATTATCATAACTATTTGAGTCAGAGATAGGTAACCATTTGGCATACCAATGGCCCGAGAAGTGAATTCCAGCCGTCACAATCATGAACCAAAAAACAGTACCGATAGCTGTGTTAGCAATTGCAAACCAAGGTGGAATGAGTGGAGACTGTAGATTATAGCCTATCAAAGTAGTCAGTGGTTAGCCCGCCGATGGATCTTACGTAGTTCGACAGATACCAACTTACCAGTAATTTGAGTCCAGTCAAAGGTAATAGGAATAAGAGAAATACCCGTCCATCCACCAAAGACTTGGTTAATAATAACATTATTCGGTCGGATCCAGGTAGTAAAGGCAAAAACACTCAAGAATTTTGCAATGTAGCCCGGAAACCAATACCAGACAAATGATCCAATAAAAACATAAAGGAAATATCTATATCTAGCTATAGACCAACCATTCGACTTTGCAGGATCGGTCTTGCTATGGTCATGCAAGGCATAAATGAAAGAAGTATTAACGAGTGTTTGCGGCCAGATCATAGAAGCTGGATCGACGAGGAATTTCCGCATCATGCCTGCGATTCCAAACCCAATACATTGTGTAGTGAGGGCGAGCAAGATATTGAAACCCCAACCAAAGTTCTGTCCGTAGAATCCTCTTTGCGCGGTAAGTGTGTCGGTAAAATATGCTACTCCCTGTCCGAAGGCAGCATTTGCCATGATGACTATAAGGCCATGTTCCTTCATGTTGAATTTTCCGGGACTGAGGTTCCATTTTACTCCAAACGTGTTAAAGGTACGATCTGGGAATATCATGGTCCAGCCTACTCCGAGAGGATATGCCACCATTTGAACGACGATGGATGTAATTGTTAATGAAGGGGCTCGAAGCGAGAAAAGAGAGTTCAGACCAGATGCAATAGTGCAGAGCAAGAGTCCAATTGCCCATGCTCGAATTGTATTAGATGGGAGGTCTTCATCATAATTTCTGACCGCTGCACGAACCTATGCTTGGTTTAGATGGAATAAAAACAAGAACCCCACATTGGCCTACCTCAGGGTACGGTGAGTTCTCAAACACTTCATCATAAATCCTTCCCTCTGCATTTGCATCTCGGCTATTGACAGCATCATCAATTTCTTCCAATTGGTCCTGACCCAGATTTGGATCCCATCGATGGAGTTGCTCGAATGCTGCTAACTTGCGATTTGCTTCTGCCTCTTCAATGTCACGAGCAGTTGATGTTGCGACATCTTTCTCTTCCACCTTTTCAATAGTATCAGATCGATTGTGTGATATCACGATGGAATCGTTAGGGGAAGAAATGCTTTCCGAATCGACGGCAGGATCCCGAGCTCGAAATCTTTTGAAGGCTCCAGACATTGTGATATGCCTGACGAATACACATCAAGAGAGAAAGATGGAATTGAGAGGTAGGAAATATCTAGACTTAAAATGGAGGGGTATTTAACGGGGCCATATCTTGCCTATGAAAGCTTCCGATAAGCTAAGCCAGAAAAAAGACCTCGTCCTCTGAGGTTCAAGATAACAAGTGATAACAGCATCGCGAGAAACAATGCAAATAGATGTTCAGATCTTCAACAGAACCCCGCCACAATAAGTCTATTATAGGCAGGTCCTTACAGATTTATCCCGCTGCGGATAAAAAGTGACAACTGCCGTAGCACACTTGCGATACAGTGCAGATGTTGTGCATGGTTCTGGACCAATTAGAAACAAAATAACCCGCATATCGAACGGTAACCCCGCAAGTTGGACCAGTTGGACGATAAGAGCTTCCTATCAAGAAGCTCTTATCTTGAAAAGATTATTTGGAGGCAAAAGATATTACTGACGTATATGTAAAATACTCGAAGTATCTCTGAGCTTGGTTCGACAAATTGTGTTTTGACATGATATAGCACGATATGATATCCGGCACGACCAAATCAGTTACGCCGGCATAATCATGCGTCAAGAGACACCGTCTTGCACCAGTGCCGGGCAAGCGGAGTTCTACCCCTCGCCAATGATCGGATGTCTCCTCAACCCCGCCCCCGAAGTATCAATCATAGAAAATTCGTAAGATACGGAACTATAGATCTAGTAATACTAGTTATCTACCAAGTATTTCGAAACACCTGTCAAACAAACTTGCCGAATTATCAGCTTCTTCAAGTAAGGTGTAACTCCGGCCAAAGTCAAATGGCCCCAAGAGTGTAAGTGTCTCTCACTCTGCTCATCTAACGTGCCTATTTAAACTTGGACAACCGCTTCCACAACCGACCTCTTAAGATCTTTCGCATCGTGTTACCACATTCAAAAAGGTGGTGTCTTGGAAGACAATCAGATTTGCTATAATTGTATTTCAACATGGAATGAAGGGTTCGAAGATGAGGCGTTGAACTTTTCCAACACTTCAACCAAGATTAAGTGGCCTCAAGCATTATCCAATAGTCGAACAGATTACCTTATTTCGATTCCCCATCATCGGTGAAGGTAAAGAGCCTCGATATATTTAAGTATTACTTGCTCGAATGGAAACGATGGGTGACGAAGGTCTCATCAAGAATTCCACGTTAATCTTAAATCTCTTCAAGGAGTTCGATTATTCCGCTGGACGACCCATTGGCTGTGATGGTTACATTGAATCCATAACATCCATCATTTTCCGCCAGGCCCGTCAGAGGGTTTCGCACGTGGGAATGCTTCGATAATAAGGTCATAACCAACGATATTATTGAGAAACCTATAAGGCCCTCATGAGAATACCATCTTCAACGCAAAGCTTTGAGCTTGGTTGTAAGAGCAAGGATTTGATCCAAGATAAACTCCTCTTGTTAAGCATAGATCTGGTGGTGTGAGAACATACCTGGCCTTTGATTGTAGGCCGCGCAAAAATGACGAGGTTATTAGACAATGGATATTCGGCAAGTGAAAGAGCGGCAGAATTTTTTCTTTATTTGGCGTATACATATCACGGTGATAAGTTAGGGACCCCAGATCGATTGGAAGAAAAGTTGCGATGCTGTTGAGTTGAAGGGAGTCTACATTCGACAGATTCGCACAAAGCAAACCTGAGAACCATAGCGACAATTCGACTTTTAAAAGCAAAGTTAAATTGCACGTGAAGGTTTCAGGCTTTGAGAGTTAAGAGAGTAGGACGGTGACGAAAGCTCCCATTTACTATTGCGCATTCTTGAATCCATAGATGACCATGAAGAATAACAAGTTTCCTAATAAATGAAATTGACTGCTTAAGGTCGATTTCAGTCACAGACAGTTTAGATGGATCATTAACGGTGTAGTTACTGTTGGATTGGAAAACATCTCGTCGTGTACGAGCTTTCGTATGTACATGGCGAGCTCGGGTATTAAAAGAATACCTCGGATGAGTAGAACGATTGAGAGAGCTTGAGGATTGATTCAAGTCCATTGGATTTTGAAGTAGAGGCTAGCTTAGCAAGCTCCTTTAGACACCTGCAGAGAGGAGATAAATTGTTGGAATATTTGCGTCTAGGAAATAGGAATTAGAAAAGTGTGTGGAAATTTTCTATGGGAAAGTCAACAGGTGTGATGAGAAGCTTTGAGGATGAGAAATTTGTCAGTAAAGATGTGCTCATATGTCCAGTTTAAGAAGATGGTGGCTGAGAATAAGTTTGCTAGAGATGTCTCCATTGCGGGACAGCCCAGGATTTGGATCCATCAAATAAATATTGCCGAACCTAAAGTACCAGCCGTTGTGAGGTTGTTTATCTGATCAGAATTCTGTTCGCCAAAAGTGTATGTTCAGGGAGTATGGCTTTGTTCGTAGATCAATGCAAAATGGAGCTTATATGTTTCAAGTGCCTCGAGGTGTAGAGAGAGATATGTATAAATGAAGGTCATGGCGAATATGACTCATGAGATGAGCCAGGTGCGAGTCGTAAGCACTTCACACGTTATGCCTACATCTTTATGGCAGTATGTCACAAGTGCGCGGACCCCGAAACATGCACATACGGAATATGAGGCTGCCTGCAAATAAGTTGGAGTGTGGTAGTTGAGAAAGTTTTTATGGTTGTACACCTAGAAGAAAGAAATGGCGTTGCTTCAACGCAACCCAGATTTGGAACATTAGAAAATTCTCGGACGAAACTGCTTCAGATTATAGCATTCTCCAGTCAATAATCCTGTCGCCCAGTGCTTCAACCAGACCTGTTAACATCCATCTCAACCAGTGACATTGAAATGTAGCAAACAATCGTAGCCATCCACACTATAGCTCAAGAAACTATCCCGGCCTTTCTATGCATACAACAGTCACTTTTTACCAAGAACACACAAGACCCAACACCTTTCGAATTCTATCTGGACCCATTATCGATTTACAAATCTGCATCGCATTTGACCAGCAATATTGTGATCGAAACTCTGAAGTAGATGAAATGCCTCAAAGTCCGTGAAAGGTTTCTCAAGTGATGGACAAAAAGTACAGAAACCTTCTACTGGAAGGTACTATTTTCATTTGCAACAAATCATTTGAGTAACACCACTTCCGGCAAAAAGACTCGGTAAGGTTATCCCTCTCATTAGAGGGATCGCAAGGTGTATGGTGTCTACAGCCTTACACCTAACACACTGTGGAAGGTAAAGAAAGACAAGGAATCACAAAACACTATTGTGAAGTTTATACTTCTCCGAAAATTGAAGATCTATCAGCGTTAGCGACTCACGACAAAATGATTCTCCTGAAAATCTCGCAAACGAGAAGCAACCCACAAACAATGGCTATAAACAGCACCAGCATAGATATCGCCCAGTAGAGCTTCTCCCCTCTTACATCTGACCGCTCGATCAATTTCCGTAGGGGCACATAAATATGTATAGCTTCGAGCCAACCATTCCAAAAAGAAGCACTATAAACCGATCTCGTAAATCAACATTGCCATTAACATCCGAATTCAACATTCAAACCCAACATAAAAACCGCCTGCCCTGTAAAACCAAGACGAAAAGTCACTCAAGCTCTTCTCCCAGATATCCATTCTCATATCTACCCCGCCATACTCATCCTTAAGATCCAAGATCCCAGCAATCAAATCCCAAAAAGTTAAACATCCAACACAACATCGACATCCATCCCACCCTAAACTCTATCCCCACCATCTCAAGTTCCCAAGTTCCCAACCATCCATCTCCCAATGCCTAGCTCCAACTTAAAATGTAAACCCGGGGATGAGCCTAGCCATTCCCAATTCCTCATATATGCATCATCCAACCAACGATCTGGAATATAGTGAATACTACGCCCTAGGAACTCCACAGAAAAAGATTTCGAGATTGGTGATATCATTTTGTGGAATTAAAGTTTGAGGTAGTGCATTTACGGTTACTATCAGAATGTCAAATAGGGTTTGTAATGACAGTCAGCCGAATTGAGGATGAATATGGAGTTTAGGAAGGGAAGGGAAGGGAAGGAAAGAAAAGCGAAGAGAGGAAAGCGAAGGGAATGGGAAGCAAAGTATGATAGATTGATATCTTGAGTCTGAGCTGGTGAGGGCAAGGCGAGGGGGATTGAAAACCCACACATAGAAATCTTGAATGATTCTATATAGTAGGTGTGAAGAGAGTCATCTTACTATTGGAGCTACGATTCCTGATTATATAAACCCACTCATCATTGTACTTTCCATATTGAGCCTAACAATATTAACCCACAAAGCTAAACCCCAGAAAAGGAAGGGGAAGAAAGGGAAGGAAAATACATCAAGGCGCAAGCAAATGATTTCAATTCAATTCTCTTCATCTTATCAAAACAATCAAAGGAAAGTAAAGCGAAAACTCTATAACAATAATCAATCCACCAGACCTTATTCTGATGCTCCAAGAAAATTACCCAGGTAATCCCCGTATATATATCCCACCACAAGTAATGAATCTCAAGAATTGATATCTTCAACGCTTCTTCACTGTCGATCCTCCTATTCATACTATCATCGCGAAACCAACCATCCATCCATCCATCAATATTATCTTATCTAAGCGCAACAGCGCAAAGTTAAAAGTCTAGGTAGATAGATGGACAGAAGTCATGTCGCGTCTAATTTAATAAAGTTGATTAAGATTATCATGCCGCCGATCTAATCTTGTTATCTTATCAGTCATTTCAATTATCAAATCATTATCGAATAAAAAATACTAATAATAATAATAAATAATCAAAAGAAAGAAAAGAAAACAGTTGATCAACTTTAAATAAAAATATAAAAAATTATAAAGACTTTTAAAAATAATTTTTTTTTTAAGAAGATTTTTTAATATTAATATCAAAATTATATATTTGAGTATTTATTAATATTTTTATGTTTTAATAAAATTTATTTTATTTTATTTATTCATTATAACAAAATAATATTCTTTTCAATATTTATTTATTAATTTATTTGTATATTTTTAAATATAAAATTTATAAAATTTATAAAATTTAACTCAAAACTTAATTTAAAATAATATATTATAATTTATAATTTATAAATTCATTTTATATAAAATATTCAAATACTCTTTTTGGATTTATTTAT